CTGTGGCATAGTGCAAGTAAGTCATTAAATAAGTAAATACACAAATAAATGAAAACAAGGCTAGTAAAAACACAATTTCGAAAGCTGTTGCCTAATTTTAGCCAAAGATAGAAGCTGACATCATACTAGGTGAAACAACAATTTTTGGATGTGTATGTTATCTTCCATTTTGTTTACTTCGGGCCAGAAATACCGCATTTACTCGCATTTACATAATGAATGCAACTCCAATTTTTGGCTCCACGAGTCTCGAACTGCATCCAACTTTGCTAACCACCAAGCCCACCAAGCCAATTTTCTTCTGTCGCCAAGCGGTCAGGCCAAGTCAAGTCAAGCCAAGCTGCTCTCGTAATGGCTGCAGGTGCATAGTTGCGGATGTGATCGACCGTAAAACCGAGTGGCGCGTACGCTTGACGAAGCTTCGGCAAAAGGTGCGCCGAAAGTGCACTATAAAGGTTCACAATTTATAAAGCATGGTTACTTTGGCGCGCCCACGACCAGCGTGGGTGCACCTCCGTCAGTGGAGACGTGCCACAGTACCTTGCGGTGTCATATTGGCACCTAATATGACATTTGCAGGAAGTGTGTAAATGCAAAAAGTTTACCCACCGTAATGAATACACCACCCAATATGTGTCAACTTTTCAGGAAAAAAAAAGAGCATTGATTATGCGTGTAAATATGGTACAAACTGAAAACTCCAAACCTGGATCTCACAACGGATAGGGGAGGGAACCCAATTATTGCCAGGATTCTGGTTCGAAAAATAACACCAGGTTTTAAATTTGTCTTAATAGACCATACGAGAAATTGTTCGAACGTCTGGCAACACCCTGCGTGCTGCCATCTTTGTTGCTTCGAGATTCCTCAGCTGCTTGTCTATTTCACAGCGTTGTCGGTAAGGATCGAGGCTTACCGCTTTTGAGCTGAGGGTTAGTATTGTTTTACGCTCTTCTTGTGCATGTATGTGCTTGTCCCCCCGCCGGTCGCTGGTTTCTCGATGCAACCAATGTGGCGGACGTACACTTCAGCTCAAAATTTGGCTTTGAGTGCCCGCAAAGGCACAGATGGCTGGTTTTCGAAAGCGCTTTCTCAGCGTGAGTGCTTGTGCGAATGAAGGGTTCCTCAGAGCTACGCTTTCGTGACCTGGCCTCTGCCAGCGCCAAAGCCAACTGGTGAGACGAAGCATGTTCTTAAGCGGCCCACTAGATGGCACTGTGCATTTCGCATATCTAAAGTCCCTTGATAAAATCCACACTTACAAGTACCGCCAACCGTTGTTGTGGAAACACGCAAGACACGTGCCACAAGTGGGTGCTCCGCCGCCATTTGCTTCGAAGGGCCGCTCGAGAAACGGGCCTCGTGCACTGGCACATTTGACGCTACTTGCAAGACAAGCGCAAAAACATTGAGGGGCTTTATGCATATCCTCCGTTACGTTAAACTATAGGACCCAACAGAAAGGGTCCTAAATATATTTAAATGTTATTGATACACACAGCTGTGTCAATAACTAAATGGTGCCTGCCATAGTTTTGTTCAAATTGGTTAAGAACACCACTGAAAAAATTAACTGGCTGAGGCTATATATTTTTAATATCAAAGCCTCTCCGGAGATATGGCTCAAACTACTAATGGCAGTCAAAAAACATGAATCAATGAGGCAGACAGCAAGAGAGGGCATGCAAGAAAGGCGTTTAAGGGACACTGACACCCCCCAAAATTTTGTTTCCTTTTTTGTCACGTGATTTATTATGGTGTTGGAATACTACCCAATTAATATTTTGCTACAGAGTCACATATTTTTTTAATAAAGTAAAAAAACGCAACTTCTTGAAACCGAAACCGAAACTCCCGCACCCCACGGAGAAGTGGACAGGATAGAGTGAGTGGCGGAAGTCACGTGGCTACACCCAACCGTGAGTTTTTTTGTTTTTTTTCTTTCTCTTCTCTGCACATAGCAGACGAATTGTGTTCGTTCACCGTGCGATTCCTTTGCAGTTATGTTTGCTCCGTTCGCTGTTCTGTACTTCAAGATGAGTTGTTTTGTACATTTAAGTGTTGGCAATTAGTAGTGAGTGCCTGTGGTGAATTCCCGTGACCGGCTCCGAAAAGAATACTCCCAAGATGTTGCGTGAAGAGCTGCCTCACATGTCCTGACTCTGAAAGTGGCATTGCGCGGCAGAGTGCACAACTTTCCGAAAGATCAACGGGTCGGGATCGATGGATGGCTACAATTCCTGTAGAACAGTTACGCGAAGCTCGGAAAGCGGACGCTACCCGATTCATATGCTCCTTGCATTTTGTGGAAAGTGACCACATCGAGTTCGCAGGTGTCAAAAATAGAATCCCATATCATTTAGTTCCCAGCGACGTATCGTCCACAACAATTGGTTTTTTTTCAGTGATAATTGTAAAAACAGAAATGTAAACATAACAAAATGCTTAAAAAAAAAAAAAAAGTACACAAACATTAGGGATTGAACCCGTGGCCTCTGCGTGTGAAGCAAACGTCTTTCCACTGAGCTACTGAACAAACTCTTTCATGCGTAGTAATGAACCAGGTCGACTGTATGTCGGAAGTTTGCTGCCGATTTCCCTTCAATACATGCACTCCCGGCTTGAAGTCGGGCAGCACCACACATAAGCCACATTCGCACCTCGTAAAGAAACCGTACGCGTGCGTATTCAACTCAAAGTACGCACTTTGTGCTTGACGTTTGAGCGAGCGATGTCTTCAGCCATAAGAAGGGACGACGACTCGGCGACGTCTTCGTGCAATCGGCTTACTGGTCGGGCGTGTCGTACGGGATGAATATCAGTTCTTTTGATCGGTAAATTTCTCTTTCGAAGGAAGACAGAATTCACCGGTGCCGTGAACGACAGTTCTGAAGTAGAGGTCCAACGCCCGTCGTCCACTGCCATTCGCTAGTCCCACGATATGCGAAACGACGCCATGTTGAGAATTATGCAGTGAAAGCACAGAATGCTTCCAGTTGTCTGTGCTACCTTTTTTTTTTTTCAATCAACGTATTTGCAGCTTTTTGGAAGCCACAAAAAATGGGTTTCATATTTTTTCTATTTTTAATATTGACTGTGTGCCTCAATGACCCACGACTTTGATTAAATTAGATGGTCGCGTCGAAACCTTAGAAAACGGCCTGTGACCACGGAAAAGAGAGTTAGCGTGACTCAAACCGGCCAGTTCTCGACCAGCGGTTTTTGGGCGGAAAGAAACAGAATTTCGAGCCGCAAATTCTGTTCTGGGTAGTTCGGCTCTCATATGTCCATACAATTAAAAACCTCCGTGAGCATAAATACCCTGTCAATGTCCCTTTAATGGATGATCAAGGGTGGTCCAGCCGGTTTTGAGTTTGGAGCAAATTTTGGAACAGAAAATATCTTGTTATGAAGCAGGTTTGTATCAGAAAAAGTCGCTTTTTAAAGCAGCTTTGGAGCAGCACACACCTAAGTTTGGAGCGATTCAGTGCAGTTCCCTATTAGTGATACCGGCATGCATTCATGCGATCAGTTACGTGATGCCCATTAAAAACCCAAATTTAGCAGTTATGCTCTACTATAGTTGGTGACAGGTTAGGAGTAAAGTGGAAGCTCCTCCCAAGAAAACGCTGGAGAGAGCCTCCTCTTCCGTGGTCTTTCCAGTTATGCCAGGCCATGAGCTGAGCATCACTAGAAAGACTGCGGCCATCTGCGGGCCGGACAAAGCGCATCCGCGGGCCGGGGTTTCGAGACCTTTGCTCTAGATAGAGAGGTGAAGTAGCACTATACAAAGTCTTATCGCATGAAACGAGCAAATAATCAGTAAAAATATTTTGGATCTTCTCTAATGTATAGACATTTTAACGAGTTGTACGATTAAGGATTCAAATCATTTGATGTGAAAAAAAGGCAACAATATGTAACCAAGCAGTCCCGACTGACTATGGTAACAAAATGGGAACCGTGTGCAAGCACATTCGCATATAACAGTGTCACGCTTCCAAAATTAAGTATGCAAAAAAAATAAAATTACTTGTGCTGACTAATCTTCACTAGTGCGCTTCGAAATGCAACTAAAACTGTTAAAACTGCGGTGCATTAGGAATGTCGGTAAGATTGGTGCGAACCCTGTGAAACAATGCCGCGGAGCTGGAAACCTGGATTTGAATGTGATGGCCAAACCCCACTGGATTCTCGCAGTTGCCAGATGAAAACGAAAACTCTCCCAAAAACCAATTCGTTCGCAGATTTGTTTGCCTTGGCGCAGTTTGGCGCAATTATTCTCTTTGGACGCAGCAAGGCGCAAGCAAGCAGGAATTTATCAAACAAGCACAAATGGCGCAACTGGACCACCCCTGGATAATGGATAGTTGGAAGTGGCTGAACCCTTTAAATTGGGTGACGGCTTACAGCACCTAGCCAACGTTTCTAATGCGAACAGTTAACATCTACCTTACATACAAAACATCAGGGTTAATAGCAAGACGGGGGCTAGGTTTGTAACGCCTTCTGTCGACATGTTGGAAAACAAGTCCCATTAGATCTTGAAAATCATGCAGACTGGCACCCATTTGTTCCTCACTCAGAAAATGCACTCCAACTGGGATAATCAAATTAAAGGCTATTTTATTATATGCTGGTGACTAATTAAAAAAGGGCAATTATTTGTGTTGCTGTGCTCTTTGCAATCTCTTTGTGACTAATTTTTATTCCAGCAAAATTCACTCATAAAACTCGCAAACACAAAAAAAGTAAAAAAAAAAAAAAAGAAAGACACTTGCAACTGTTAGTAAATGAAGATGGGATGCAAGACATAGGTATGAGCAAATAGTTTCGAATACCATGCTCGGCGGGTACTGCTATTATTTAGGCCGTGTCTGACTTGCACGCCTTCAACTTATGAAACAATGATATCGGCAATATTCCATCTGTGTTTCTTGCGCGAGCCTCTCCATTTCAGAGGACCAGTAAACAAGGGGCCTGTAAATCTAGGACGTTACCTTCATGAGAGGCGTCTTTCCCTCAGAATCTAATGCGTCCACTCGGGCATGGCTGCGAAGCAAGAGCTGGACGATCGTCATGTGACCCCTCGCTGCTGCCAGATGAAGCGGGCTCCTGTAATGACCAATAACGGGACACATCATCATCATCATCATCATTTGTTCTCGACCCATAAACAACCATTCCGCCATAGTGAAGGCAAGCAGATTGCTATTATTAACCGATTTACCTCAATTATAGCCATGCACCGGCTATTTCACTATAACCTTTCTCTTGGGCTCGAGCTGTATAGTATATGTGCTCAGCTATTTAAAGAGCAAACTTGTTCGTTAGTCAGGTCTCATTACACCGACCACAACCGCCCCAGATCTCCATTAGGCGGTTGATGAGTTGATTTACAGACAATGTTCGTAGACAAACTTGCTGTGGGTAAGAAACTCGTCCATTGTTTCCACTGGCTTTTAAGGGCAGGGCATAAAACTCTTAAAGGGGCCCTGAAAACATATTTAAGCATCTACCTTTTTTGCGGTTTCCATGTCTCTTGAGGTTCGGGCAAGCCAGCGGGCACGGACAGAGTAACTAAATATCAGTGCATCATATTTTAACCGGACGACGCCGAAACCTCCTCCACCTACGGGGGGATCCACGGTACCGAAAGTGTGCGATATGTGACGTCTTTGGTCCTGGGCTTACTACTGGTCAGAGCTGCTAAAAGCTTCTTTTTAGCTGAATACAAAATATAAGTGGCGCTAACCGTTTCTGTTCAGTATTTTAGATCAGAAAAGAAACAAATGCAGTTTATAAAGTACGGAAACAAGAAATGACCCGTCGACATACCCGCCACCAAGCGATGGAAAAGGCGGCACATACTAGAAAGGAGTAGTGAAATCAGGCGCCGACACGGAAAGGTCCCGAATGTAGGCGGCGGCACTGCGGTCGTATGGACTGCAGGATCCGACCGGCTCCGAGCATTCTGAAGGCCTTCTGCAAGCAGCTTGGTCTTGCGGTTTGACCATTTTGCGGTATGGCAGCGCGAAGTGGCTCCCATTCTCAACTGATCTTCACCCCGCGTTTGCTGTCGTTTGTGGCCAATGAAGTGTCATGCCGAATTAGTGTTTAATCGCGCAACAAATGCAATGAGAGCCGCTCTGGCTGCCCGCTGCATACAGCCTATTCAGAATATGCTTTAGTGGCGCTCCCTCGCGCCGTCGACACGAAGTGCAGCAGCCGTGAGCGCTCGCTTAGCTCACTACCCCTCCTCTAGTTCATGGCCACTCAAGAAACCAAGGACGTCATGAAGGAGGTTATTTTTTGTTTGTTTTTGTAATGTTAATTTGCCTATTTCGTTACAATACTGACTGTTTTTCATTTTCATTTTTTGTTCAAACCATTCGAGAGTGGGATACACTTAGGAAAGAAATTGTGTCTATTACTGATAATGATCTCTTTTATGATAAACTGCAAATCTGTATCCGCGGTTAATAATGTGTTTTATTGTTGCTCCGTTTATCTATTGTATGAATATCTATTGTTATTGCATAATGCTTCCTGTACCCCCCTGCATAATGCCTAACGGCGCTGCAGGTATTCATGTAAATAAATAAATAAATAAATAACTTTTCAAATAAAGCGAAATTCGAGAAAAGAAAAGCTTCATTAAGTTTCTACGTTTAGTGCGCTCAGGTTCGGTGCAAATTAAAAACCAGTCATTGCAGGGCCCCTTTAAAGGAATACTTCAACGAAATTTGAAATATTCCCGTCGTGTTCAAAAATAGTTTGAATATGATCCACAATACCCGTAAATGACAATCGCACGTTTGTATTTTGAGCCTGGTGGCTGTATTTTTCGTTATAAACGGCCCACTCTGGCAAGCGCTCGGAGAAGGCTCAGCGGAGACCACGTGACATCCAACGCAATCGTGACGTAAGTCGTCTCGGGACAAGCAAAGCTACGGCGAGGCTGACGTCGAGAAGATGGCCTAGTCGTTCCAGCCACCAAAGCGGCTGCTTTTGTACGAATTTTGAGTGACGGGTTAATCTTCTATAATCTTGTAGGGGGACAATAGCGACTTCTGCGACACACAAAAGGCATTCTCGGGAAGAGGGGAGTTCCTCCTGCCCCTCTTCTCTCGTCGTGGCCGGAGGCGAGACACTCACCGTCAGTAGCTGTCAAGGTTCCTAGACGGGCATTACAAGCGAGGCGTTAGCGACATCCACCAGGTGCTCCTTGCTAATCGTTTAATTTGTTTTGAAATTCCTTTTCGAGACTTTTTTAACAAGATATTGGTATGTTCGATGTGATACTGCTCCTTTGAACACATATAGACCAAAAAATGAGTGCCGAAATTTCGTTGTAGTATCCCTTTAAGAGTGCAGCAAAAAAACATAATCCAAGTCATCAGGAGAAAGCAAATTTTCGTTGTAGGTTATATTTTGTTAATACCAGCAAAAAATGTAAAACATGACAAAAGTCACAGAAGAGGATGCACAAATGTCATCTTTCAAAAATAAGGCTAAGTGACTTGCATTGCTACAAATTTGCATATCTGAAGCTGTTCTGGTGCCTTGTGCATTTGTATTGTTTTATTTGGCACATCATGTCTTCTATTTCATTCAACATTAATTTCAAAGCAGTATTATCGAGTTTTATGATACAATGCCACAAGTAATATAGCACAATACGGTACTGCTCTGCTGCCCCATTCATTGTGTTAAAGAGATGTTATGCTCCGCCTATTACAAGTTGATTATTCTTTGAAAAGGTTGCATATCGCCACATTGAGATTGCGCTTTACATTCTGAATATTTGTATTTCACGTTATATTTAAGTTGTCATTGCCTTCTTTTGCTAATGGCCAAAAAATAAAATTTAGTCATTTCATTGGTATAAATGTCGCTGTCTAATCCTTGGAAGGGGTTTTAGGTTCGTGCGATACAGGAATAAAAATAAAATTAAAGGACACTCGCGCGAATAAAGCCAAGCCAGACAAGTGGTATAAAAAGAGAAAATTTCGGCGGAAATGCGCATTAGTAAAAATGTTTGCCGCCCGCGCATTCCTGTGCGCACTCGTACTCAGATAGTGACGAGAAATAATAATAAGGAAAAAAAGAGCAAAGCCTACACGTGCGACGAGGACGCAAGCATCCATGCGTTATTAAAAAAGAAAGAGACAAAAAAAAATTAAAAAAACATTCGCGCAGTCGGGGAGGAGCGCCTCGTGAAATGAACTTCCGCGCGGCCTCGAAGCCTCCAAACGCCGTCTGGACCAGCCCAAATTAGGCAATCCGCGAACAGATTTCGATCCCAGCGATCTCGATAAACGCCAACCTAACCTAACGACCGATTAAAAAATAAATAAAAACAAAGAAACGATCTCACCTGCTTTCATTGTCTTGAAAGCTGACATCCACTTTCTTGGCGGCCGCTCTGGCGCGGTCCTCGTCTCCCAGCCAGCACGCTTTATGGAGCTTAGTGAAACTCGAATCCACCGCGCCCAAATCGATGTGGTAGCCGCAGAAGTCTTCTCCATTGTACGAATTCAGGCTGGCCGTGCTCTGCTTCTTGGACGAGGACTTGAGTATCTTCTTTTGAAAGAACCTCTTCATCGTTCGCGAAGACGGACGACCTCCCACGGAGCATGCATCAAGGGAAAGCCCTGCGCGCGCTTGATTGGGGCCACTTGGGGACCGTTTAGGACGCTAAAGCGGTCGAAGACGCTTCGACAACCGCATGCCGCGACCGGGAATGGCGTGAAAGGGGGGGTTCTTGCACTCAGTTCGAGCGTGGCGACGTGGTGATGGGCAGGAATAAGCGTTAGTCACATTTTTGCCTCGGGTATGTTATTGTGTGTTGCCGCGGGCAACCGAACAAGCGAACTTTTCGGACGGAGACAGACGGTGACAAAACACACACAAACTAAAAGTTTTTCAAGTTGTCGCGACGCGCGCGCCTTCTGTTCAACACGTATGAATGATTACTAAACAGATTAACGACGCACGGCAATTGTCTTGGTATTATTAGTTCTTAAAAGTCCATTAATTTGAATGAAACAAGTATTCGTAAAAAACAAAATTTTAAAAACACGGGAAAACGGTTTAGCAGCGATACCGTGAAATACTTTCTCCAACGTGAATATGCCGAGCGTATAAATTTGCAGTATAATCATTGTAAGTTACTCAAACATTGAATAATTGTCAAAACAGTGTGAGGATAACGTTGGGGCTAATTTTTGCTTACCTTTCACTAGACTGTTGGTCGCGCCACCTAAAAACTTTAACAGGTTCAACATTTAAAGGGCAAACTTGAGGGCGGTAGTCTAGGCTACTGTGACGCCCGAGGAACCGCGGGTGGCGAGTTTTCTTAACCGGGTTGGCGGTTTTATCTTTGCTTACGTCGGTGTGATGTTCAAAGCTTCAAGTTCGCTATGCCCAATGCCTCTCCCGATCCTCTCTACACCCTACGAGGTCACAGTGGCGCGGTTAATACTGCCGAGTTTGTTGACACGACGTTATTCACTGGCTCGTCGGACGGAGAGATCTTCAGTTGGGACCTCGAGGTAATGCGATACTTATCCGTCACAGGTTGCTTCATTATGTGGTGCTGTCGATTTATTAGGTCACATAAATGGGCTCTTTGACTGACAGGACGCGAACAGGGAGGAGTTTCCCGCCCCTAGCGCGAGACTACCTTCGATTACGCTTTGGCGTCTCCTGAATCTCGAACCTTCCATAGCCATAGCCTTCTATATATAGGAGGCTATGGCCGAGCTCTGATTGATGGATAGTGGATAGAGTTCAAAGCAAGCTACCTTCAGGTCTACCCGCTATTTTTCAATCAGAGCCAATCAGGGCTCGACGTTGGGACGTCACCACAACCCCTGCAAAATAAGCAGACGAATTTGTGCTCCGCGTACAGTGCAATCTACCTATATCGATGTACCTCTCGATCAGTTTCTAGTCCAGATACAACGATAATCGGTTATAACTATTGAATTCTCGGGTCTCCTCATTAGTGTTATAAGTGTATTGCACTGTACAGCTATCAATAAAATATTTCTATGATCAGGGTGCCCGGAGGAGTCGGGGCTATGGGTGGTTAGAACACATATCTCGTGTTATTAGCCAGACCCTCCTCCGCTACATTGATTGATATGGACGCTTTAACAATTAACCCCGTTTTTTTTTTTTTTGTTTTGCCAAGAAATGTTTTTTTTTTAGGAAGTTGTGCATGCTGAAAGTGTACTCCATTCAGCGTAGCCGCATCTTGGAGTAAAATTCCAATGCATTTATTGAATACGTGACTGACTTATGCAGCCCTTTAAATCGACAACACACTATAATAAAGACTGGTTAAAGCCGTGTTGTAAATCTGTATAGTTGAAACAGAAACAATAAAAAATCATGAGCCATTCCACTCTGTGAAGGTGCATGACCAGCTAAGCTGTTTAGCACCGGCACAGACGAGACACAGAATTTTTAAAAGGTACAAACACATTTATTGTCTTGATCGGCACCGGTCGTGACGAAAGGTACGCACACATGTCGAGGACTATCGCCGCCCCGAAGTGCCTGAGGAAACTAGACGCGCGACGGGACCGCCACCTGGCGTAAGGAAAAGAAACTAGGCGCGCAAATGGTTGGAACGACGACAAAGAGGGGGTGGTTCGAGTTTTTGTTCACACACACGAAAAATCCATAGAGTCCTAGCCATAAACAGCTTCACTGTAAAACAAGGAGGACGTTTGGAAACAACTATCTTTCAGTTAGCAAGGAAGAATGTTTATTTTCGGGCATGAAAAATTCTCCCCTCAACCAGAATTCAGATAAAAATGTGTGTGGGGGGGTGGGGGGAGGAATAGGAGGAGGAGGGAGAGAGAGAGGGAAGGGGAAAAGGGAATGGGTCATGATCAGGAGGGCTGGGCAGATCATAAAGTCAGGGTGGCTCCTTACCTGCCCTCCTGCAATTCCCAGAGTGACCGCTGCGGGAGAAATGGCGGCGTTGCGATCGCCTTTAGTTTGGTTCTCGAGTACGGATTGGAGCCACTTTTTCAAAGCAGGCTCTATGGCAGTTCCCCAATTGAGTCGTTTGAACAACGTTGCTAACTGAAAGATTGTGGTTTTCTGTAAACATCCTCCTTGTTTTTATTCATTCTATTTCTAGTATAATAAGGAGTTTTAAAATACAGGGCCCAACAATTGGGGCTCCAAGCAGCTTAGGGTGTTGCACGGAGCATGCACAGACTTTCTGCACATGCTCAGCACTACATCCCAAGTTGCTTGGGCAACCAAAAGCATTTGGGCCCCCTATTCTAAAACTCTCCATCAAGTAACACCCTGAAGATTGTCTTTAAACGTAGAGAGACATGTCAAACACCACGACGTTGCGCTTTTGACGCCGCTTGATTGGTCCCCTCCACTTGTAGCATCTGCTGTGCCCAGACTTGGGTGAAACAAAGCATATAATGTTAAGGTAATGAAGTGTTGTGAAATTTCGGTTGTCAAGGAGAAATAAGTTAATGCAGCTAATCTTATTTGCGTATAACATGTGTAACATACATTTCTGTACTTGCAGACATTCAGGAGAAGGCATACTTTGGAGGGACACCAGGGAAAGAGCATCCTATGGATCGGCCACGCCGACGAGACGTTGATCACGCAGGGCCGCGACGGAACCGTATGCACATGGAGGAGAGATGGAGACAAGTGGAAGATATCGGGTTCGTGGGAATAAAACAACACCCATCTGTCTATATGTCTGCGGGATACCTCATTGCAAGTTAATGCCAAAACCTAGAACATAATACTAATCCTCAGAATCAACAAAATTACCAGCGACCATACGTTCAAAGGGTAATAAAGCATGAAATGCAGTATTTAAGACGCAATCATTTAATCTTGCTCAGAAGACATTTAAAACAGTTTTTTTTGCGAGTGAAGGACATACCGTAAAATACACCGGAAGCACTTGCTTTGTACAAGTGCCCACTATTAGCATTTCACAAACTTGGGAATTTTCCAAATTATACGTTAAGGCAGACGTACACTTTGTGTTCTCCACTTTTGCCCACTCCCTCCTTTCCCATACACTTTTCACCTTGCCACAACTTGACTCCCCTCGCGCCTTAGGAGAGGGGAGCACCGAGTGGATTATCTTGCCTGCAGAAAACCGAGGTTGTACGTCGGCCTTTAAGCACCGAGCTCCTCCAAAGCGACGGCATCAGCTGAAAATATTCACCCCGTTGCGGCGGCCACAACTGCCAGCCGCGACGATGGGGATATCCACTTTCTTGCAATGGAAAGGGGAAAACTATTTGTGATGAGAGCCTTGACCTCCTATTCTGCACCGACTCAGAAGAGTCGTTTTCTGGGTTCAGTGATCAATAGGTATTAGTGTCGCCCCATTATTTATCATGTGAAAATAAATGTGCTTTCTCTAATTCCGTCAACCCGGCCTTCAAAGCTCTATATAAAAAACAGACGACCAATTTGCGCTTTCCACTTTTCCCTCGCTTCCTCCTCTCCCCCCTTCTACACTGTCCACCGTTGCTCGTTTCCTCCTCCCTCATGATGAGGAGGATGTTCTGCCTTGCAGAATCTCGAGTCTGGTCGTCGGCCTTTAACCGCCATCTTGGTTTTTACCGATTCAACCGGACAAGCCCCCATGTCTAGATTAACCCAGTTTTCAGTCAAAGTGGGGTGAGCACTTCTCCAATATTTTACGATAGTTTGTTAACTTCTCCAATAAATTGAAGAGGAGGGGGGGGGGGGGCAGGAAATTGACATCACATGACTCAATGTCACTCGACGTGATGTCACAATGTCGAGTTGGGGCATCGTGCGGTACCAGGATGTCATCCGACGTCAGGTCATTAGATGTCAATTTTCCTGCTAAATTTGACGTGAAAAGATATAAGCGAACGGATGGATGCCAATTTATCGCTTGAGCTTCCAAGATCCATAGGAAAAACTCGGGGGTTCAAAAGACCAGCTGGACACTCGTTGCAGAACCAGACTATTAACAACTGCTTTTTGATTCCAGCTACGCTGCTGACCAATGCCAAGGGATTCTGCCAATGCAGTAACTCGTCGACACTGATTGCCACTCCGTTTGAGCAAGACTGGAAGATTTCCCTTTGGGATCTCCAAAGCCAGGCAGTGATCACGTCAACTCCAAAGCCACCTCAGAGCCCCGGCATGGCCATGTGCACAAAGCTTTGTGCCGACGGATCGGTCATTCTCGTTGGCTATGAAAACGGAAGCCTGGTCTCTTTCGACGCCCGCTGCGGAAAACAAGTTGCCACTGCGACGCCGTTCGCCGAACCCGTGATGTGCGTCGACTTTGACGACGTACACTGCAAGAAGGGAATCTGCGGGTCGGTCACCAAGGAACTGTGCGTGTTCGAGAACCTGCAGGAACTTTCCGAGCGGAGGAGAGTGGCGGTGGTGAACGATGGCTTCTGTTCTGTGGGCGTGCGGCCAGACGGAAAGATTGTCGCCTCAGGCGGGTGGGATGGGAGGGTGAGGGTCTTTGGCTGGAAGTCTCTGAAGCCGTTGGCAGTGCTGGACTTTCACAAAGAGTCAGTACAATTTGTGAGGTTTTCCGGGGCAAATCTGTGTGGGAAGGGTATGCTTCTTGCAAGTTGTAGCAAGGACAAGACGGTGAGCTTATGGTCGCTGTATAGCTGATCATTGAAGGAATTACCGGTTGTTTTATGAGGTCACCACCACACGTTTCAGTGGGGTTCGTAACTACACGAGGGCAGGACATAGCATTGTTGTGCAACTCTTTCAATGTTTGTGATGCGAGCATTGTAGATGCTACTTTTTGATCTAAATAATTAAGTCTGATGCAGATCATCTCTTTACAAGCCAAAAAAAATACACAAATGTTCACCTTTTTTAGCCTCCTGTCATCATTTCGGAGCACTAAGGTCTGTTTCAGGTGCAACTTATGTCATTTTTATAAACATTAATGCAGCTGGAAGGCTTTATTTCAGAAATAATTACGAGTGGAAACTAAACAGTAGCAGACTCTATGCAATCATACAATGCAACTTTATCAGGAACAAAAAAAACTTTTTGCCTGGTCAGAAATTGCATGTAAATAAGCAAAAAGTTTTCAGTAAAAGCAACATGTAAAGATGAATGAGCATAATACAAAAAGGTTCCATGAAGACTCAACTTATCATAAATACAAGTCTCAGCAAAATGAATATGACTACACTGTGTTGCCATACAAGATGTACAGGGGAGGCCTTACCCACACATACTTCAAAGGTTATCCAAACAAACCGCAATGAACCTTCCCCGTGTGCCAAGAGGCTTATAATATATTGTTGCTGCCAACATAAAAAAAAAAAAAAAAAATCCAAAAGATTTTTTTTTTTTTTTTTTTAAGGTAGTGATACTATACATTTCTTCCGGAATTTGGGGGCAGAGCCCTTTCCACAGATCTTGTATTGCAACAGTCTATAGATGGATTGTAATCACAGCCTTTAACAATACATGGTGGTGAATGCTTGAATATATTAAATACTATACTAATGCAATGTGCTGGAAAATGAAAAGACTGACAAATTATCACAGATTCAGTGACAATGATTGAAACTAGTTCAGTACGCGTTAATTAACATTAAGTCAAGCGCGACAGTTTTTTGAAAAGACTACAGGGGGAAAGTTGTCTAGGGAGTTGAGTCTTTCTGCAGAGATTTCAACTCCAAATAGGACACCTTGAAAAATGTTTTCAACAAAATGCTTTGGATTGCCAGACAAAATACTTTGACTAGCTCAGATTTCTTGTTTTAAGGCACAGGAAAAAAAAGAAAACAAGAATTCAAGGGGAATGTGGGTCTTCCCTATTGGGGTAAGGCCCACATTGATACTTCTTTTCATTGGCACTGCTTTTGACATTTTAGTAAGAACCAAATGAAGAAATTATGGAAACCAGCAGTTTACCAGTACCGGCATCATATTACCAAAACATGGTTTGTACAATGACTTCCCTTATTTATGAACTGCAAAAGTCTAAGATGGGAACTATAAACCCGAACTTTGTTCACAATAGTGGTACACTTTCGGTGCCAGGCTTCTGCATTTACTACCCCCAAAAATTTGCATATTCCCCGGAAATTACAGAAAGGACTGTGGCACTGAACTGAGCTGTGCACCTGAACTCGTAAAAGAACCGGTAGGAGAACACTTTCCGATGATGCCGGTCTCTTGAAGACACAGCATGGCAGCCTGAGCTTTCGCATGTTTCTTGTTTGCACTTCGTTCGGCAGGCTGGAACTCCATGCCGTTTACTTTGACCTGGAACAAATCATATTCGATTACTATACCAGGTGTCTTAAAACCATGTTTTTCAGCCAGCACGAATGAACTATGCATCGCAGGAAACTGAAACTCCATGAAAATTTGACGCCACCAGTTGGGATAGAATATGAAAGTTTGAGAACATGACATAACCTGGATCAGAAGATAAAAGAAAAATACCAAATCTCCCTATCAGTTGATGTCCACCCGAGCCTGCTAATATCAACAAAACAAGAACCGACGTGGATGTGCGTGGCACTTTATATCTGAAAAACACTTAGAAGCGAGAGAATATTGTTTTCTTTTTTGCCTCTCAAAAATAAATCCTGAAGGTGCCCACAATGTCACCTCTTGTTTTGACGATATCATGCTACGGTGGACGTTGCCTCGTAGAGAATTTTGGACTTTTTCCTTGATCTTTTCAACCGGGTAACGCTGTGTTCTCAAACTTTCGACTTCTATATCCTAACCGCTAGCATCACATTCTCACAGAGTTTCAGCTTCCTGCAATGCATAGTTCATTTATACGGGCCGAAAAACATTCATGTATGGTTTCTATACCTCGGTAACAAACTTACAGTGTACAGTAATGACTGCCAAAAATTTAGCTGATTGCAGCAACAGATATTTGGATTGTAAGGATTACTTTAGAAATTAGTCGCTCTTGCAAAGACATGGCTTCCTCTGGACGGTGAGCTTAGAAATCATTTTAGCATTCCTTTGATGGTAAGCTAGCTTTCAGTAGACCGTTCCAAACATAGTATGCAGGACCTCCCTTTGTCTTTTCGACGCACTGCAGAAATACGGTGTACAATGCGTGAAAGGGCACCCATGAAAAGAAGGCGCAACGCATATTGGTTTGGCATTTTGCAATTTGAGACTATAAAGAAAGAAGGACGATAGTATACAGGGTACGTATAACTTTGTAATGTTTTCACTGTTTTTTTTTTTTTTTTTGTGTTTTAAACTTGCAGTGATAAGAGAGAAGAAATTGCACTGCTTTCAGGATGTACAGAGCGTACAAGGGGGTGCAAGCGCAGATCGGAACGGCCCATCAAATCTCCGTGCTGCACGGTGTGGCCGGGGTCGACAAGAGGTCTTATGGGATTTTTGGGAAAGGTGTGTAGAAAGCACTATAGTATGTAAAATATATCGTGGCAGTGTCCTCCAGCAAAATGTGCGGCAGAGGAAATGCTCCAAAGATGTGAAGCTCTGTGAAGTGAGCACCTTTGTTGGCCTCCAAAGCATCGTTCGAGTATGGCACAACAAAAGTACTGCGCCATTTAGGAACAAGGTGCTTACTAGGATGGAAAGTTGGGCGAGTTGGTATGAATTCATTCCTCCTTCTTGTCCGTGTGATATTCCCGCTGTTTTTCAAAATGAACAAGGTGCGTTCACCGATGGGTGTAACAAATGACAACTGAGGCCTTACTTCTCAGAAAAAGATAGCACTTACTCAGGCAGGTCGCGGTACACAAAAGAAAGGCTAAAAAGAGGCGAGAGAACATTATTCTTGCCTTGAACAGGAACATTTTCTTATGATCCGGCCCGCTCTCGTTGACCAAGACAAATTCCGGTGGTCCCCAACGTGCTTTTATGCACATCTCGGTCAAGGCAGAGACTGGGTGCTTGCCTGTGAGCAAAGATAAAGGCCTTTTTCAAACTCCGGTAAGAGAGATACACTATGCTCGGTTGGAGGAAGGCATCAGCTTTGCTATGAGTTCTGTTTACCTAAAGTTTTAGCTAGCACAAGAAAATAAGCAATACCTATTATAATCAGAGTTTCATCCTATGACCTCTTCGTCTTGTTTTTCTATTGGTAAAGATGCATGTCCCTGTGAGGCAGTTTGATTCTTCAATTCATATTTTATTTTGCCCAAACAGTTTGCAGGCTTGGTTTAAAAGTGGCAGAACAAAAATTTGAGCATAAAAATGAAATGGGCCATTTCTGCTGGACAATGTCCACATTGCCTCAGGCTTTTTCTTGTTAGTAGTAGGTAAGTTACAAGGACTGGTTTTGAAGACCAGAACTTTTTGCAGAGAAAGGTGGCTCCAATAGATGAAAGACAGTTTTTGCAGTTTTTTGTTACAGTGAAGTGAATACTACTAGTATAAACACGTAGCACTATAGTTGGTCCAATGAAGAAAACATTTTTGGAAGAAGCAATCCTAATAGTATTACTGCTAGAACCAGAGTTAGTAACCTTGATAGGCAACAGAGGTCTGGTGGTGATTTCCTCGTTGTCCCATAACATTGTATAGAACTTTTTTGCATGAGCACCTCTTTTTTTTTAAAAAAAGGAAAAAGAAACACCTTAAATTTGATGGATACATCTGTTGAATGTATATTGTTGGTATGGGATGGTGTGAAGTAAGGTAGCAAACTAGGAATGTCAAATGCCAAGTCACCATCTTTGGCTACCAATGCCAGACAGCTTTGTATTTAAAGAAAGCGATGTCACATCGTACGAAGATGATTAAAGAAGGAACCTAATTTTTTCCACTGCGTTTACACATTTTTCGAAGTGCATTGGACAAACATTAAATGGATGGGCTGCCGTCTTTTTTGGGGTTCCCGCGATCCGATTTCGTCTGCCGCAGATTAGCAAGAGACCATCTCCTACCTCCCAAGTCGTGGTGTGCTGGAGCAGCAGACCTCCTAAGCTCCAGGTCCGAAACCAAACCTAGAAAGAAACAATAAGGTAAGAGGGATGCTATAATCACATTTTCTACAATGCCTATAAATTCAATCACTCGAATGGGTAAACTTTTGACTAGAAACGTTTTTGCTGGTTTATTTACACAGTGCTTCCTCTCAGTCTCTGGTTTTATACCGTATCAAACATAATATATCCATTCTTTTCCTTCAATTTTTTAGGAGCTTGTTGCACCGATAGTATGTATGTACAAAAATTATGAATAGACCTAGCGGACATAGCTTAGCAGACAAATTTATGTCACGTGACCTATGCACAAATTCAGGTTCCTCTCTAAATGTGGCGGGAAAATTGATGTCATAGGACCTAACATCCCGGCACCTATAGAGAAGGACAGCTTCCCTGGTAAATTTCGCAAAAGAATGGACGTCACATAATTTATGCAGCAATTCAGTTCCCCCGCAAAATGTGGTGGAAATATTTGGCGACGGTGTGAGCGTAAACGAAAATAAACAAAAAAGCTGCCACCGTCTATACGCATTGTACTGCAAGATCAACCCCCCATTTTTGACAACAGACTGGTAACTTCATCGCTATCAAGGTACGTTACGAGTTTATGCCATATACGACGCTCAGCCGATGCCCTTCTAAGTTCCCGACGACTACTCTGGCTGTCACAGTCGATTGCAACACAAAGGGCTCGAGGCTTCTAGAAAACACTGCCTCTGCACATAGGAAGACATGGGACGAATGCTCTGGCGAGAGTTTGAAATGAAAGGTATGTCACGTGAAACCGCACCCTGTATTCAAAGGTTTTGTGCTTCTGATGTCAAGCGTTCTTGATTTCTGCTGACGATGTAAATTAATGTCTCCCCCACCCCCTCGCCCTTTCCCAGCTTCATTGCCAGCATTGCTTTACTCGGAATGGCCAATGCTACGCTCCGAGCGAAGCGAGAGAGTTTACTAAAAAATGCCTGCCTTTCTTGTCGGTCTTGATGCTAGGCAACAAGGGTTCCAGGCAGCCCTCCTTGTTCTTGCCCAGGCCTTCCCCGGGTGCCCATCCCATCTTCCTCAGAAGGTGCATCCCGATGCCCTCACACACAGGAGCAGCCCTCACAAACTGGTCCTGCGCCCGGAACCACAGGAGCCAGTTCACCGAGTGTTCTTGTTCACTTCTTGTGAGGTGCAGCTCATTCATTGCTTGCTACATAGTGTGCATCAAAGGGTCGCTGAATAACTTCATTTCTGCTTGTCAGGGTCCCAACGCTGTAGCACGAATTTGAAACGCGATGCAGCAACATATTTAATTGAAGAGTTCGGCATGGAAAAAAATATGCAGGGTACCCTTTTAATTTTATTCAACTGACCGCAGAATTCATTGCCTCAAGAGTTTGGGCAGGGAACTACTGTCCGTACTTACTGAACAGAAACATACAACATTCGTTGTGGCTCATATTTCTTATGGTTTTCAGTAGGGATGTCCAATCAAATAGCGCATCATCATCTATAGTTTTAAGGACGCAGAAAAAGCCGGCATTTTGTAGAATTCGAGCCTATTCACACGCTTCAACAACTTAGAAGCGAGGCACATCCAGTGACGAATTGTTCCCACTTGGAGCGAATTGTGACAAAGCAGCAATGCCACGAGCCAAAAATTCAAAGTCTCCTTGCATCATTTTTTTGCTAGTGACAGTGTTCTAGTGAACAGGGCCTAGTTATAATATAATGGGTGACAGCAGGATGCACGTCATTACTGCACGGTCCTAAACCTTTGCCCGACCTTGGGCCCTCCTTCCTATGGTAGTTCTCCATTCACTGTCGAAATACTGGTCAGCATTTCACTGCCAGAATGGTCAGTACTTCTGGCAACGGTCAGCACTCTGCCTTCGAGAAAGGGAAAAGGAAATACCTCAAAGGGTATGTTTTTTCGTCCGACATGAAGGAATTCAACCCAAAAGCCTTTTGGATTGCAATGTTGGATAGGTTATTACCCACCGAAGAGGATGCAGTCTGCCGGGACGGAGCCTGGTTGGACATGCGAGTAATACCTCACACTTTTTTCGTGCCTCCTCTATTGTATGCACAGATGCGGGTTGCAGTCACCTTTCTCCCTGTATACAGAGTGTGACATTTCCTGGCAAGACCTAATTTCAGCCTGTACACATACAGGTTCCAAGAATTGGGAATGAACATGATCTATGCCCAATTTCAAGAAACCAGACAGCTGGTCGTGGTCCTTATTTTGGGTATAAAACCCATTTTGGTCAACCACAATGTGACTGACCCCCACAAAAAAAAAAAAAAAAGACTAGAAAGAAATAGTTGCAATGCCCAAGGCACTATATAGACACATGAATGTAGGGACACAGTGAAGCTGCTCTGAACATCAAGCATGGCATCATTTTTGGAAGGAACCTGTTATGACCACACTTGTGGGCTGAACAGGCCCAACTGTACCATCCAGCTGTGCCAGGGCAGACGCCTTGCAACTATTCTTTTTGATCGAGCGGTTAGAGCTCGGGAGATACTTTGAATTCGGAGGGGATATTCACTGGACGCCATATTTGAGGGTGATAATTAGAGCGCATGCTCAGAACGAGCTCACATTAATAGCCTGCTAAGATCAGCTATCTTGATAGTGCGGAATGCACGTTGCAAAAGAATTGCGGAAGCTCGCTGTCATCACAGGCTCAGTAGTTGCGCACACAGATATGGTTGCGAGTAAATAATCCCTATACGAGGCAATTTGAATTTCCAGGTTGCAGAAGTCTGCTAGAGCTGTCCTTGTTGCAAAAATGGTTAAAGAACTTATATGCATCTCCACATAAAGTATGAAAAATTGAGGTGAGTTATTATACACATTTTAATTTTGGCCTTTGCAGACCCTCCAAAACAAAAGCCACAAAAGATACACTAATGCAGTCTGTACATGCGAGCTACATCGCCAGGGGGACGTAATATAGGGGGCTTACCGTCCCAATAAAACGGGTCAAAATTTGTTAACTTCCCAATTAATAAAAATGAACATACGGTCCCAATTAAAAACTTGCTTAGCATCATTGAAAATCACTATCAGTTGATTTAGAGCTTCGACGTGCATGCTCCATTTTTCTGGGTCCTAAAAATGAACATACGGTCCCAATTAAAAACTTGCTTAGCATCATTGAAAATCACTCTATCAGTTGATTTAGAGCTTCGACGTGCATGCTCCATTTTTCTGGGTCCTAAAAATGGACATACTCCATTTTTCTGGGTCCTAAAAATGAACATACGGTCCCAATTAAAAACTTGCTTAGCATCATTGAAAATCACTCTATAAGTTGATTTAGAGCTTCAACGTGCATGCTCCATTTTTCTGGGTCCTAAAAATACATCCAATCCCGAACACGCTCGCATGGTACAGTGGAATCTTATTAATTCAAACTAACATTCAGGTCCCGCCCTGTGCGTTTCTAGGAAGGAAACTCCCGGCGATTCAAAATTTGCATTATTCAACAAAATTTTGGTTTCCCTCGGGTTCAAATAAACGAGATTCCCACTGCATTTCCTTGTTTCTCATCATTCACGTTTTCACACCGCGAGCCTTGCACCTGTAACACTAGCGGTAACTTTAGCCCACTACCCCACTTCCCACACACTCCAAGTCTTCCTAAACTTAACCGACTTGGTACTTTTCGAAGACGCACAGCAAGTTCCTATTAGAACCCACTTTAATTTTTCCTAACTAAAACGTTGAACAAATTTTAGTTAAATATCCACCTTGTCTCTATATTATGTTCCCCTGTAGAGAGCATTAGTGAATATTTCATGGCCTCTTTTAGAAAGATCTGTAAAGCCAAAAAGGAAATGCCCCGTACGTTCGCTCCTTAGAACACGTTAGCACCAGGACGCACCTTTTTAACCCAGGCAGGGTTGGGGCCAGAGAGCTCGTCCGGAGTGAGGGGCTTGAAGTCTATAGAACCTGTATACTGGCCCGGTTCGTGTTTCGAAAGCGCCCACGCTTGGAACTGGCAAGGGAGAACAGGCACACACACAAACGTGGCACTGGTTTGCACGTAATCCCCAACAGAGCTCGGCTACACTCCACTGAAGGACCCCTACCTGTTTGTGGCAGTTGTGGTAGACCTTCATGGCTTCCAGGTCCATGGGATTCTCCTTCAAAGCCTTGAGGGCCTCGACTCGCCGTTTCATTATGTCTGCGAGGTCGTTCGTGTCCTGACAAGGGGGGGAAGGGAAGGTTGCTCCTCGTGTTCTTCTACTGAGAGTCAGTCAGTTCAAAAGGACCCAATGAAAGCATGTTGCGAAAAACGTTCCGGTACGACTGCATTTTTTTGTGCAGAGCTAAATGCTGGGTTCTCCGGAACTGGGTTGGACAAAGGAATCTGCAATATGCATCCGGCACGCTCCTTATCGTGCTTTGGAGTGTGTATGCGCTCGAGATGTAAAAACGCTGTCAAGGGTAAGCTCACGCCGAGGCGGGGCCACTAAAGCCGCTTCCTGCCGCTCTCACGTTGGAGGGTGCTTTTCTAGACTATAGTGTTATACTTGGTGCAAAATCCTGTCGAAGCTACTGGCCCATTTACACACGCTCTTGCACGAATAGGATAATAGACGAAGCAAGACCTGCAGCTGCAGCTGCGACAGCGTCGTGCACAAAGTATGGAATGGAGTTAAGTGCTCCCCGTCGACAAATGCCAAACGTTGTCATAGCCCCGTTCTTTCCATTGGAGCAGGTGCAGTGCTACTGCTGCGCTTGTGTAAAAACGCTCGAGTCGGGTTGGAAGACGGTGCGAATAAATCTGTGCAGTTGTGTATTCCACAATAACTTGACGGGAACAGACTTAATCATTGAAGGTGCACCTCCTGAACACCAATGTCTATGATGATGAATGCCGAGCCGAAGGTGCAAATCAGTCGATCCGGCGTAGGTGCACCTCGTGGCTAGCGTTACAAAAACCATGTGCAGCCCTAATTACATGTGCCCCTTAATGCAAGCAAGATAAATGTATGCCCTCATGTGGAACCTACTTTTATGTCGAGAGACTTGGGGCAATGCCGAGCAGAAATGCCCAATGACAGGCAAGAAGGTATGGCGTCCAGCAATATAAAAGACCCATGCGAAGAAGCAGTTTTACATGGCTGAGCTGGGTTCATTTTGTCTAGGCCCATATTGCTTAGGGTGAGAAAATAAATGAATCCGCATTCTATCTTTTACCCAGAAATAAAGTGCCCCTGGTCGTGTGCTTGCCACTGCCGCACCAACTGCCTCGGCAAATGGGTTTTTCATACCAAGGGAGATTGTACGTGTATATGCATAAAAAAACTCGGTAAGTTGGCCCTAATTAGGCCTCGTGTGCTCTTGCCAAGTATGATGAGGATACTATCAGACGCCACACTGTCCTTACTATTTCTATTCCAATGACTGTAGTGCAAGCTGCCAAAGGCTAATTTTAACTAAGATTAAGTAAGGAGTGAAATGTCATTTATTGGCCAATCCACCATCTCCTAAATAACTGGTCCCACCCATCAGAAAACTGGGTTCAAGGATTCCCTGAAGGAAACAAGTGCCACTAGTAAGAAGTGAAGAAGCTCCTTCGAACGAACTTGGTGGCTAATGGTTAGCCACAATGGGCACAGGGCTAGTTGGGAAAGGTCAGTCTAGATCACCGTAGCTCAATGAAGCTGAGGACCTGGCACCACTTGGCAGAGTGTGTGCCCACTCTCGTATTTTCATTCCCAAAACCCCCCGAACCGGCAATTTCAGTAAAATGTGAATTGTGACCAATCTGGGAGTCGCAAACACAGCTCCAGAGGCTCCACTTGTGCCTGCAAGCCACCGTTTCCTCAAATGCAAGGTTCGGAAAAATCTCATTTCTGGCCAACAGATGATCGCTGCTGCGTGGTGCCCGCAACCCAAACGTTCTTTCAAAAGAGACAACTTAAAAGCACCTATCGGGACCATCACTTCAGAGGCAATCGCCGAGCAGGTCAATTTCAAATGACGAAAGAGCAAATGGCCAGCATTCCTTCCCTCATTATCGAACCTTCTGGGAAAAGTCCAAAATGCTATGGTGCATAAAGTGCGTCTTCGACTAGCGAGTCTAGCGTCCTTTTTCGTCCGCACATCGAAAGTCGCCCCCAAAGGGGCAACAAATCACGTCGCGGGGAGCCGTCGTGTCACGTCGTCGAATGTCGTGATCCCGGAGGTTGGACAAGGAAGTTTTGGCAGAAACCTCGAGCAAACCCAAGCGTCGTCATCACGTTGTCTCAAAGTTTCTGCAGTACAAAAAAAACAGAAGAGCAACTCATGGCAGAAGACGTCTGCAGAGTGCCCCGCTAGGGTACCCCCGCCAGGATTGCGACAGGCAACGAAGCGGCACTTTTACATTATCGAGTGAAATCGAAGGACCAGGAACGAGGACGCGGTAAATGCACCGGTCGAAGACTCGGTCTGAGCACTGCAACGACGCACGAGCACACCGCAGCAGCTTGCGTGCGACTTGTGTTCGTGTTTGTTCAAGATATATCAAGACCCTTGCTTGAGCACAGGATTCTGAAAACGCCTCGAACCACGACTGCGGACGTGCACACCAGTCTGTGTTTTAGGCACAAGCTCTCGGTCGGCACGATTGCCATCGGCAAGCAGAGAGAGCCCCGTACCCCGGACATGGTTCCCGCCGGCGCCTCCACCGCCTTGGGTGTCGGAGGCACCACGGCCACAGACACCGTCTGCCGCTCCGGCTGAACCTGGAACACAGGCGGAGTGGCGATGGTGGGCAGAGGGGAGAAGGTATTGAGGGCGGGGGGAGGGGGAAGGGCGGGGAGGGGGCGAGGGGGGGACTTGGCAATCCCCACTGCGTCCGGATCGTCCCTGGCTCCGGCAGACTTGCCACCCTTGGACTTCGGGGCCGCCGGGGGCGACGGGTCAGGCTTCTCCACGGGCACCCATTCTAGCTCTTTGATTCGGTGCTGGTTGCCACTCGACACGGGAAACTGTTTGTGGAGGTGGGCGGCGTCTGCCACCTTCTCGGCGAGTGTCTTGATGGGGAGGTTGGTGGCGTTCTGTGGAGGAAAGCGTGTGCTTAACCGCAAGCACGGGGATGGGCAGGGGGGGACGGGGGTCAAAGGGGAGGGCAGTGGGTGGAGAGGAGAGAGCCCATCAAAACCGCCTGCCCATTTTTAATCACTGGGACGTAGTGAGGAGGAAATGATCAAAACACTCATTTATTGACTTATAAATGGAGGGAGGAAGGGGAAGGCAAGACGTCTCGAGGGAAGGAGAGGCTTCAACTTTTTGTGTACTATGCGAAGGACAAGCAAAGAAGCGCTTCAAGTTGCTTTAACAATGGTGATAAGTGAAAAAGAATTCCAAATGCACAAAGTACACTCCCTACATGACCACGTGCTGCATACAGTGATAACACGCAATACATGGTTGCACAATAAACCGCACAGAGAAAACATAATTGAACAAACAACACTGCAGTCAGTCTGCCTTTTTTACTGATAACAGTTGACCAAGTTTTCTTTTATGCATGTCCATTGAAGCTTGTGTCCGAGGAGATATCTTGCAGAAAGAGTCCAAAGACGAAGACCATCGAGGAGATCTCTCGCAGAAACTCTTTGCACTCTGGTGACCAGTGCATATAACACAGCTCTGAATCAACACAAGGGAACTAAACAAAGGCAAATCTGCATCAAACTTGGAAGTCCCGTTAAAAGGTCACACAAAAGACAGAGAACTGTGAATGTGTCAGACCGTTTATTACACAAAGAGGTCACGACAGCTATGAAACCAAACCCAATAACGATCAATTGTATATAAAAACAAAACAGATTCACAATCCAAGGTTGGTTTACACAATGCCCTTGATGCTATGTGCCAACAGTGAAACACCTGATCTAGCTTTTACAATGAAACCAAGTGCAGTACACAGTGATGCTGTAAGTCTTTGCCAAGTGCAATTACTGCCGCAAACTAGCTGAGCCATCCCAGACATTAAGAGATTTCGTAAAGGACCATTTGACTTTACATGTTACGAGACACACTAATGGTCGATGTTGTAATTTAATTTGTTCTCAGTCGCTTACAAACTTGTATTTTCCAGGCAGTGACAATGTGATGAACGAGACAAAAAGGATCGGGCAAAATATGCAGTCTACATTATTGATTCACACAATGTAGCAGTGAAGTAAAGTGTGTTGAACTAGACTAGAGCAAAGCAGACAGCAGCTCTAGCAAGACTACTTTTAATTTCTTTAGTAATATGCTAGTTTTATGCATATCTCACTTAAACAATGATCTTTGTGCCAATGAACAGTCAATACATATATATGCTAAAAATTTTTCACAACACAGGACCTGACATGCGGCAGATTAATATGTACATGCCTCGTTGACGTCTAAGCAATGCTTAAGCCTTACACTCAACTTGCATGAGAAAAACACTATCACTACAAAAAATTAAAGGAGAAACACACACACTGCTAAGAGCTATATGCCATTCAGTGGCAGAGACATAGAAACAGACAACAGATTGAAGCGAGCATTTATATGGAAGTGAAAGGCTACGATAGTATCAATGCCACTGAAGAAAAAATGCAAAGCTTTTGTGCCCATTCTCCTCGCAGGCACACGGGTACGCTACTTATCAGAATGAGGCAGCTCCAAACTTGCAAACCTTCACAAGGTTCCCAAAGAATTGGCACTTCATTCACATTCACACCACATCAACCAACGTCTTTCCCAAGCCTACTTTGAAAGGCAAATATAGTCGAAAACATCATCATCCACAAAAATAAAACTGTGTTTTGCAAGCAAAAAAAAAAACTGGATGTCATCTTTTTTTTTTTTTTTTTTTTTAAAGCAACATAGAATTTTACGCGAGTTCCAGTGGTCAAAATTCAAACGACAGTACTGCGCCGTGACTGAGACAGCTTTAATTCACTCCAACGATTGCAGCAAGACAAACTTACAGCAGAGTAGAGGAAAAAAAATCATAAACGATGGGGTCCCTCAAGTTGGGTTCAGGGGGGAAGAGAGGGGGAAAAAAGCATACAATGAAACGAGGAGTGAAAAGAGTCCCTTTTGTTGTACCTCCGAAAGTCTGCCCCGGAGAGACTGCGATGCTCGTCGGTGGCCAGATTCGACGGTCGTTAACGCAAGCTTCCGATCCCGTCCCAGGTCTTTTGCCCCCTCAGTGATAGGTGATGGCTCGAATGGAATTATTCTCGTCGCCGTAGTAGGTACTTACAGGAATGTTAAACCTAATCGGGGGCGGAGGGTCCTTGAGTTTGAATGGGTGGTGGTGAGTCTCGTGGAACTCTTGGGCGACTTCGTCCGCCGTCTTGGGCTCCACTTCGCCGGCGTACTCTCGCTTTTCCTCCTCCGAAATGGCCTTGCAGATATCTGCAGCGGTGGTCAAAAAGAGAGGAGTGCGTCGTGCAGGACCGAACGGGCATGGCCCTAACTATATGTGGAGCGCCAGCAAACTGCCTTCCTTGCTCGGGCCTCTTTACCATTGCAGCTCTTCAACTCGTGCAAAATGTACCCACCTTAGACATTAGACAGGGACATGGATGTCCACAGAACTTTTTTTTCCCAATGGAAGGGGGGGGGGGGCATATGCATTATTTTTTTCAGGTGGGAGCAATTTTGGAATAATGGGGCAAAAGTGTCGCTGCACCAAACCACGACTGGCCAAACAGGCACCATAATGCTTCAGTAGGATCAAAGTCCTTTAGTAGTACTATTCTGATTTCGATGGAATAAGTTACTCTAAATTTTTACGGTGTTTGTTTTACGAGCACAACGGCTTCCAGCTTCCGTCGTGATTGTTACATATACCATCGAGCTTGTCGATCCTAGTCGTAACGTCCCTAGTGGGAACCGTAAAGCTGCACCCATGCTTTCAGGCAGTGCAAATGCCGCTCGAAGCAACAGCCTCGTGCCAGTAGTTTCCATTTTGCCCGCAGTTAAGGTGAAAAGAAGTGTGATACTTAATCTTCCAATCTCATGAACTGTCCAGATAAGAAAGCTAGATAAAGTTGCTGATCAGTTGTACAGCAACACTAAAGAGAGCATAGTTCTGTGACCGTCAATCCCAATTTTTAATTGCTGCCAAAAGTGCATGTTGGGACACAAACGTTGCCCCAGGTTCATTGCGACCGGATTGAGGGGAAAAGAAATGCAGCGTTAAAGAGGCCCCACACAAACAATCCTGGCCTTTAATATCTAAGTTACATGCCCTATAAGTACAACATTTGGAATCAGTTGATGAGTTAGCATTCTCTAGCCTCATTTTGAAGACTGATAAAAGATGACATACGAGAAAGACACAATTTGTTAACACATTTCGTTAGTACAACTATCGTCTATTAAAAAATAACGGAGAAATTTACTCTTAACGGTGGTAAGAATGAAAGGGAGCAGTTTATCTTTTTAATCAAATGAAAGAATTTACTGTCATGGCAGCCCTTGTGAACAAAAAACAAATTCAGTGTCTGGTAATTACCTAAAATAGCTTCAGGACAGAGGCAATCAATAACCATTTACCAAGAAAAAAAGTATTTTCACGCAATATTTAGAGAGAGGGTAAGCTCTAAGGGCATGGTCAAGTGCAAATGCATATGCACAAAAAAAGCTAAAGCTGAACTTACTCTTGCCTCCAAAACACAAACTACAGTAAGTCAGCATGGTACTCCACGTCACGAGTAGCGCTCAAAACGTAGGGGCCACTTTTTTCTTCGATCAACCCCAAACAACAAAATAAAGAGGTTTAAAACTTCCTTTTGTTTAGGGTCATGCTATTGTAGAAACATCTATGGCTTACAACTTAAATAGAAGTCAACATTACAGTATTCATGTGACCCACTTCCCTCTGCAACAGCTCTGGCCCTCAAGGTAACTAAATAAAATAAAAAAAGAAATACCTGCCATTCAGGTTTTATTTGCGAATCTATCTGATCTATGAATATCAGGATGCTCAGTATAGTAGTGAAAGCCTACTAAGAGCTCACAGTCATTTTCCTTTTTAGAGTAGCACATTAGAAAGCAGCTGGCATAAGGTGTGCTTTCATATGCACACTTTGTAAAGACTGCTGGGCCATATTTTATCTCGCTTTCAGCTTGCACGAAACAGATCTCCGATTTTCCTATTTCTCAGAGCGGTTAAATGAGCGGCTAGTATTACGAAGGCAGAGTTTTAGAAATTCCCTACAAATGTTTGGTCTAACACCACTGATTCTCACTTGCGGAGTGAAGTATTATGCTTTCATGAATGCATTTTAATGCAGTCCCTTCAATGTTTGCTTGCTTATATCAATTTGGTGTATCCAGTAGTTGACAGAAGATTCTGGTGTGCCCAATTTCAGGCAAAATGCATTTTTGATGCTTTAACAAACTAGGATAAAAATGGAATAGGCAATCTCACTCCATACTCCAACTGCACTACACTGTGATCCAGCTTTACAACTGCAGGGTTTTGCGCAACTTGTGACGTCGAGCGACCGATGCCAGCTAGGAGCGAGTTTGGACTCTTGTGGTGGTGTCCCACCTAGGTACTCTTGTGTCACAAAGTACAGAAGAAGGGTGGCTTACGTGAGCGGCTGCTTTTTGTCCCGCACACAGATTACGCCCAACCTGGCTACACTGTTAACAAACAACATCGAACGCTATCGCACAACCTGCACTGCCCACTTAGCCTAAACTCCACAACATCACTGCCATACATTATTTAATGAACACATCACTCTTAAACTCCTCAGCTCCTAAAAGGAAACCACACACACACACTGAAAGGCAAAGTGGAGAGATGAAGGCAGTATATATCACCCCACTACAAGGTCTTTACAACCTGTCCTCCAAAACACTGAAGCTTTGCTAGCTGTGTATTTGCATTCCTAAACTTAAAAAAAAAAAAAAAAATTAATAGCAATTAGCACAAGTAGGTTGGTTTAACTTAGATGCTGACTTGCAGCTTTTGATTCGTTAGACTTCTGCAAGACCTCGAGTAAATAACATCCGAATCCCAGTCCCTCTCTCTCAGAGCATCAATTTCTAGTGAACTGCAAAATGAATTTGCCTTTTGAGATGCTTACAACTGAGACTTTGTTTTTTGCATTCTCAACTATGGTCAGTGACAGGTTAAGAAAAGTTCTCTGGCTGGGGAGGAGGAAGCAGACGAAATGCTGAGGAGAGGAGGTGGTGTCTTCCTCTCCTCTTCAGCATTCCATCTGCTTCCTCCTCCCCCGCACTCCTTTCTGTCGAGAACTTTTCTTAACCTGTAGCTGACTATAGCATTGAGAGAGGTTCTAAGCCTAGCTGCAAGACATTCTGCACGTCGGACTTAAATTTCTGTGACACTCAGTCCAAGGATTGGTTTTCTTCTCAGCTACATGAGCTTGTTACAGATGCCTATTGTAAGATTAGGGATGCAGACTTAAATTTCTGTGACACTCAGTCCAAGGATTGGTTTTCTTCTCAGCTACATGAGCTTGTTACAGATGCCTATTGTAAGATTAGGGATGCAGACTTAAATTTCTGTGACACTCAGTCCAAGGATTGGTTTTCTTCTCAGCTACATGAGCTTGTTACAGATGCCTATTGTAAGATTAGGGATGCAGACTTAAATTTCTGTGACACTCAGTCCAAGGATTGGTTTTCTTCTCAGCTACATGAGCTTGTTACAGATGCCTATTGTAAGATTAGGGATGCACTTTCTCTCACCTAAGAACACCATTACGTTGTACAGACTTAGTTTGCCAAAAGAACATATGTCAAATCTTGCAATATGTTTCAAAACCTAAAGTCCTATGCACTGTGATCACACCATTATCGAGGGTACCCTTCAATTATTACAACGCACAAGCAGGCTGACAGGACAGCCATAGTCATTCCACCCATTCGTTCATTTCTTCACAAAATTATACAAATAATTAAAAACTGTAGTCAGTGTCAGGTTAAGAAAAGTTTTTGAGGGAAAGGAGGGCAGGGGAGAAGGAGGCAGATAGAATGTTGAGAGGAAAGGAGGAAAGCTCCTCCTCTTTTTAGCATTCAGTCTGCTTCCCCCTTCCCAGCCAGAAAACTTTTCTTAACCTGTCACTGACTATACCAAGGATGGCCAGGCTGGCCTGGCCTAAGAGCCGCAAACAAAACCACGGAACTTCTAAGAGCCGAGGGGGGGGGGGGGGGGGGGGGGGGGGGGGCAAACTTAACTTTTGTTTAGAGTCTGACTGCGTATGGGGGCACAAGGCTGTAGGACTGTACGTATGGGAGTACAAGGCTGCCAAACTGCAAGCTGCAGTGTACTTTATTCTGAAATCCTTTCTTTTTTTTTTTTTCCTGGTGAAACACGGAAAGGGGCGAAGGTGGGGGGGGGGGGGGGGGGGGGGTAGCTTGATAGCTTGATTACACAGATCCACAACCATTAAATGTGAATGGCCTGCCTACCCGGGAAATGCCAATCTGTGATTTGTGGCCCATAATTAAATAATATTCAATGCCATGCCAAAGGAAAAGATCTAGGCTACCATCAAACAGTGTGATCACATGGCAGCAAAAAGAAAGTACCCCAAAACAAAGAACAGCACAAAGGGCAAAGTAGCTCCAAAAGAGAAATTATGTAGCGTAATACTAAAAAGGTGGGTAAGTGACCATAGATGCAGTCAAACGCCTTTGTAACCAACGTCCCTCCTACAAAAAATTCCAGTTTTACAATTAGAATGTGTCGCCCCGCAAGGCACACGTGACCGCTATTTCGAATTTTCTGAATAACAAGTAACCAATTGCACATAAATTACTGTGCTCAAATGATGCGAATAGAGAACTGGAAACACAGTACAAATGCTGCAATGGCAGCAGCAGAAGCCACCGCTACGAGCCGGTCTTAAGGTTCTGTCAATTTGAGTCTTTGCCCTCAGGAGGAACCATACTGCTGCTCCATATGTTATATGACTTAAGCCAGCTGGCTATGAGCCAGCCATTTATTATGTGGCTGGCTCATAGCCGTTTTCTACAGGGGCCATTTGTGTAATGCAGGAGGGTCACACAATAAATTTACCGGTATAAGAAAGCATGCAGAAAGCATAGAGATGCTCGGTTTTGAATTGGGGTCCATTTGGTTGTGAACTCAATGCCGTGCGAACAGCGCATGCGGGAAGAGAGAGTTTGAAATGTTGTCGCATGGCAGCAAGAACACTGAAACATGGTGGCAGAGCGTGCAGGAGGCAAAGATGAGGAAAAGCACGGGCACATGCTTTAGACGAAACATGGAGACGTGGAATAGCGGGGTTAAAGCTGGGGTGCATCACTGCAGGAGAGGCAGGCTTTGTGTTCCACTTTCACTGGAGCACTAGCTTTGGCAGGGCTTTCTTTCAGAGACACTACGCACAATGATGTTTGCATCATCACGGTACAAAACTCTGCCTCCCAAGTCTATCCGAGCACCAACCCTTGAAGCCACGCACGAGGCATTCTGTGCTACCGCTGTTTTTGCCACGATAGTCTGAGAAAGGGGCGAATGTTTTCAGAGTTTTCTGGCGAGCACTTGTACACACTCAATGCTTTATTCCCGTCTATACTTCATTTCCCTTGTTACAACATTATTAAGTATACTAGCATTGGCTTTGTTTGCTAGTGCACAGATGCTTGACTGGTGCATCATAGCTAGGGTTCAGTGTTTTCAGTATATACCGATAATCACCAAAGAATAACCCCTGAAGGTTTTTTTCCGAAATCGGTAAAACCAAAAAAACACCAAATTGAAGCTTGCATTTAAGAAGAAAAGCCACAGCTTCACGGCGGAAAACTTCTATAAACAACTTTCTCTGTGTCCAACTCGAGCACCGACCACACTGAACTGTCTGCGACGCTGCTTGTTTTCTTCGGGAATTGTTTCTATGTGCTTTATTTAATTATAAATAATGCATATAACGTCGTGTTCTTTTAGAGTGTGCCCAATATACCTTTGCTTTTAACACGATCCCCGATAAACCCCCATTTGTGAGTTTATCGGGGCCCATATGGTAAAAACCCGATTTGTGAGTCGGTGTCTCTTTGTGATATCACAAATAGACACCGACAAACACCGAATGTGGGCAAAAAATTAAAAACTAACCCCAGATTGTGAAGAAAAATAAGTACAGAAAGCACGGAACCCTAATCGGAGCATAAGCGAGGCAGGAGATACAAGCATGAGTGAAGGACAGCTGGAGTCACCTGCCTGAACCTTGATAATAACAGAGGCTGTTCAGACAGTTGAATCACAGCAATGATTTCTGTCCTTTTTTTGAAGGCATGCTATAAGAGCATACCCTACATCTTGAACAAATGAGGTCAATTTCGGTGTAGGTTCATAAATGGGCTCAAGCAGAAGACACTGAAAGCATACAGCGCGTTTTTTCGAGTCGCTGCTATTTCCATTCTTATGGTGCCACCAAACGTTGAGTAGCCAGAATTAATAGTACACTAGAGCCCTCTTAATACATTTTTTCAGGGAGCTGCAAGAGGAAAGTATGATACAAGTAAGCACATGCCGACGACACTCTATGCGTGCTAATCGATGGGACAGAAAGAAGGGCTATCGTAACAATTAATTTCACCTATGTTATTGGTCTCGGATCACATAGACTCGTGTAAAATTAAGCTCCTTATGAGACAAGCTTCTTTGCAAGCAACCGCAGCAGCCCCCTTTCACCGTCGAGGCAGCCGTTTCAAGAGCATGCCAATCTTCACCGAGGTCAAACTAAGGTTCCTTCCGAGTCCTTGTTAAAGCGAGCCCCAAGTGCCCAACTTTATAACTCCACTACAGTCTGGGTTTCAATAAGGGGTCCACGGATGGATAAGCACGTCTTTCGGTTCAACATCATGCAAAGGCTCACATTTGAGCATTCAGTGTTTCGCATTCCACACTTGCAACGAAGTGCCTCAAACAATGCAAACTTGTGCCAGTCCCACGACGTGTGTTATAAAGGCGTCTGACAGTACAGAGGGGCTAAGAGATCAAAAGTAAAGTCAGCAGACACTCTAACAAGAGAAGGAGAGCTCAGTCTAAGAAAAAGAAGTCGAGCACATTATCCTTAGCAATAAATGCCGAGAATTTGCCGAGTCACAGTCTCCAAGCATTCCTGTCCTGCCAAAGCTGCCCTTGCAAGCTTCAAAGGCCTACACTCCATTTCACCTCACGATGTACCATAGCGGAAACTATGGGTCGTGCTAATCGATCCGGCGCTCCACTTGTGCCACGTGGCTTCATGGTCCGCCCAACTAAAAGGTCACAGTGACATGCTCCAAGCAATGGATGAAATTTCGACATATCACATGCCAAACCAATGGAGGCCATCCAGCACGCCACGGCAAAGAACCGAGGATCAATATCGACCACCGAGGGATCTTTTGACATGACACCGGAATCTCGATTACACCGTGGCTTTTCTACGATGAGCCTAGGTCAGATTACGGGCACCTTGGCCGGGAGAGAGCAGTAAGCCAGCGCTTTGCCTCGAGACCACCGGAGCGACCCTCCAAGTTACGAATAGGCCCCAATAGCTTGTAGCATCTGCTACGGTACACCATGAGGTAAAACGAAGTTTGGTGGCTTCCGCAGTCATTTTCCCTTTCTGCAATCCTCCTCGGCTCTTGTTCTCTTCTACATTTCTACATCAATCTCAACTCAGACAGGCCGCGACAGACACTTGCTCTCAAAGAGAAAAGACACACGGGACGCGTTGCAGTTCTGCCTCACCTGTCAGAGCAGCCAGGGACTTCTTGACCTTTGGTTGCTCTTCGCTGGAGGTCCTCGCCGACGGCAGCGCTGCGGCCGCTGCGGCCTCCGCCATGGTCACCGGCATGGCTGCCGGTGCCATCGAGGTCGACGGTGGGGTGGATGAGACGGCCAAAGTCGCGGCCAACGAGGAGCTTGGATCCGCAGCCGCGGCTGCCACTGCCGCCGCCACGACCTTGACCGTGGCGTTGACGGCTGCGGCTGCAGCCACGGGCAGGCCTTTAGCTACCACCCCACGCTGAAGCATGGCTTGCATGTTCTTGCGTGCCGCTTCCAAGAGCTGAGCCTTGTCTACTTTGACCACCGATGGCTCCCTGTGAAGCAAGCGTGCATTGACCGAGATTAAATGGGGCGACGACGGCTTGCTCGTTTAAAACCACGTTGGGGAACATTGAGTTCTGTGCCCCAAAATGAGTTATGAAAAACAAATCAAGGGTATATGTTTCCTAAACTACTATGAGGCACCGTTCAACATACTTGTCTGCCATAAACATCCGTGTCAAATCATGTTTTGTAGAGCTATGCTATTACATATCTTATATGTATATAAACCTTCTGCTTATAATTATTAAACATTGGAGGTTTTACCAGCTAGAGTAGCAATGGTTTCACACCTCTATCTCAATTAAGACAAACAATTTTTTTTTCGTTCTTTTTTTGCAGGATTGAGTTATGTGTTATTTATCCCAAAGTAAGGGCAACAAAGGTATTTCTTCCACGGCCTAGCAAAGTTACCAAGGCTCGATCAACATGCAATGATGAACCTAGTGAGAACATTTGCAAGTTTATTTCACTGTTCTTATGTATTCCAAATCAGGTATTTGAGTTCCCTTCCAAGCCTGAACTTTACCAGTGGCCAAGACTTATACAATGTGCTGTGTGAAACTTCTCAGAGTTTATATTATTAGGGAGCCTTCATGTGCGCTTTGCTAGGATGATACCACCCTTTGTAATACCACCCGCCGACAAACCAGCAGCCATTTTGGTTCTCGGCGATAATCCGTGGGGCTTATAACCCTCTCGGAAACAAGCACCTTATCTCACAAGTTCGGAGCAGCGTTGTGGAACTCATGGAGGGAGGATTAGCATTTTCCCCCTCGGATGGGAGGACCGATGGACACAAAGGCCACTTGCCAGTGCACGGGGAAACAATGAGAGGAACAAAATGGTGGTGGAAGAGGGTGTGGGAAAGGAAAACAGGCAGTTGGCATCACTCTATGCGAAGCGCACATGAAGGCACCCTATAGGCAATGCAGTTTGGCGCTACACGTTGCACCATCTAGCGGCTGTAAAATAAAGAAACTGGGTAGGCCAGGACTGCGCGGTCGCGGGCGGGCGCGTCCAGAAACCACGTGTGAATGTTGCATTTCGGATCGGCGTGAGCTTTTTTGGAACCGTTTTTCATAAAAGTAAATCCCAACTTCACGTCTCTATAACCTCACCGGATTCCTGTGACATCTCGCCTACTCCTAGAGTTCCCCCAAAAAATAAACGTTGATACTGCTGCGTGAAAGACGGCCAGTCGCGAAGGTGACTCAAGCGTCAAACTTCACCGCTTCCCTTCGAGATCTTGGGAAGTAACATGGCGACAGAAGTGGATTAATGCAGTGCGACGCATCAAGCAAGTGAATTTTACAGAAACTGTTGGGGGGGAAGTGAACGAAAATATATGTGCCAGCTTAGAAAGTGGTCGGACGAACTCGTTTTGCAGACTACTCGGCAAAATAACATATTTATACAAGTTGTATTATTAGTTGCTTTGACATCCACACAGGGAGATACGATAGGAACAATCGGGCCGATTGTTGCTTTGCTGCGACGTCGAGAATTGGGCGATCAGGTCTTCAAGCGAAAGGCCCGTCGGCCCGTTCCGGCATTCCTAATTAGGGATGTCGCGAACCACCCTAGGTTCGATTTCGAAAGGTTTCGATATTTGCGAAGCGAACTGAGGTTCGATTTCGAAAAATTTCGATATTTTCGTACCGACCGAGGTTCGATTTCGAAAAATTCGCAACTTTTGACCACAGCGGTGTTTCGAATTCGAAAATTTCGAAGCTTTCACGGTTTCTAAAATTTCGAAATCGAATATTTCGAATATTTTTTTACTTCAGGTTCGATAAATTCGAAGACTTCGAAATTCTTTGAAAAAAAATTCGAAAACTTCGAACGCTTCGAATTTTTATAGACACGAAGTTCGAACAATTCGAAGATTTCGAATTTCTTTTTGCATAAAGTTCGAAAAGTTCGAAGGTTTCGATTCTTTTTTAACGTTAAATTCAAAAAAAAAAAAAAAACTTCGAAGATTTTGAATTTTTCTCTAATCCAAGTTTTCAAAGTTAGAAGTCCGATTTTCAAGTGTTTCCACAGTTTCAGTTTCAAATAACGTTTTCACGACTCACTGGTTTTTACAAATTCAAGTTTAGAAAAGTTAGGGTGTGATATCTAGATTCTGCGAAGTTGGTCAGGCAATTAAATGAGGCGACGAGTGTCCCGGCCGGACGTGCTAGAATATTTGCCAGTGCAGAATTGTGACCGCCAGCCCTGGGGGGGGGGGGGGGGGTCTTCAACCTGCATCACGCAGTAGTGATTGCACGAACACACTGTTTTACGAGACTCATCCAGTTCGAAACGGCCAGGGGCGAGCAGGAGGTTGAGGCTCAGAAAAACCTTGATGCGACCTGGCAAACTAGCTCGCCACCCCTTGCACGCTGGTAGTGATCCGATCCGGTGAAGTTTATAATGGTCCTGTAGGTTTATTTTCTGGGACGGAGGAATCGCCTCGCAAAAAGCACAAAAGCCGACACAACTCGAGGTCGAGGAGCGTTCTACCATACAAGTGGCGTCGAAAGAGGAAAAACGGGGGGAAGAGGGTAGCGAATGGGGAGGGGGGGGGGGGGGGGGTGCTTCAGCCTCCTTCTTCCCCTTGCAGGTATTTCGGACTGTTAAAGAAAACAATACGGGGAAAGAGGGCGTGGTCGAGCTTATTTTAATCTGAAATTATTTATGCATATGTATAGCTACTGTCGCTCTTCACTCCATAAAAGGTTGCGTAGATGTTCATTGTTAGAAACTCGTTGTCAGAAGGCACTGCTCGTCACATGCTTAGTGGTTCGGAAGTTCAAAGCTGTCTTTTCGACCTAAACACCTGTGCCGATAGTAAAAAAAAAAAAAAAAAAGAATAAATGCGGGAATAAAAAGCAGGAAAAAAAAACTATCGAGAATTCGTCGGAAGTGTTCTATTCTTGCATATTCAGAGGTTCAGAACTTCGAAACAAGTTTCTTTTACCAAAATGTGTACAGGCTAAAAGAAACACGTCCCAGGAACGTGAAGCGAAAAAAAAAGTTTTCTTTTAATGACGTGCTGAACTTGAACACTATTAGAAATCTTCTGCCATGAGTTAATTTATTCCTTAACGTGAAAAAAAACAATGAATATATTATTTTGTATTCTGCAGATGGCAATGATATGTACTGTGTGTGGTGTTAATTTAAATGCGGTACCTCAAACAACTTAGACGAAAATAAACATCAAGTTTAGGTCATAATTGCATGCAGGTACATGTTTGGACATTTCTTCGAAACTCACGTTGAATAACAATAATCACATCTTAAGACGGCACTTACCTAGGCTATACATAGATCATTCTTAAAAAAGTATAACATATCTACCATAAATAGCTCCGGCTGCAGCGTGCTTCAAATCTGGCACAAACGATAATCGTCAAAAACCCGTCGTCCTTCCTCGCCCCTTCGGGGATTTATTTCTTTAAACCTAAGCATGCCAGAACATTGAAATAAACGACATTGTCTTTCGTAAGGAACGCAGCACCGCGTGTAAAAGTTCGAGAAAAAAAATTACGAATGTACACCACTACCTGAAATCAAATGAAACCGTCCGCCGGTCTTTCGAAGTTCGACGAACGTCGAACTTTTACCCTAAAAGTTCGAAGTTCGTCGAACCTCTGACTTTTCAGAATTCGAAAGTTCGAAACTTTTCGAATTCTCTTGATAAATAAGTTCGAAAGTTCGAAATTCATCGAATTTGTTGGTCAGTCAAGTTCGAAAGTTCGACAAGCATCGAACCTTGCAGCGCAATAAGTTCGAAAGTTCGAAAAAGATCGAATTTTTTAGCGTAATAAGTTCGACGGTTCGAAAAGCGTCGAACTTCTTAGCTTAACAAGTTCGAAAATTCGACCTCCGTCGAATATTACGATATAGAAAATTCGAAAAATCGAAATCTTTCGAACCTTTCGAACCGCTTGATTCGATCATCGAAACTTCGATTCGAAAAAAGTTCGCGGCATCCCTATTCCTAATGCCGTTCGGCACGCGTGGTCGCCACCAAAACCTTCCAAACCTGCGAGTTTTCAGATAGTGGATTTTCGTAGCACAAAGTTTTGTTTGTTTCAGCAACCAAATTTAATGCTGAATCTGGTAACGAATGTGACGGCGTGCAGACAGCAGGATGCTAAGTTTTTCTTTTAAAAAAGCTAGTGCGAAGCGTAAATATCCTTCTTACTCGTACACTTTGTTGCCTGTCGCCTTTTTACACCAGGCTTTGCAATATGCGTATACGGTTCTGTAGCATGCAGAGCTTGATTCTAATTACCCAAATTTTATTCTAGTGTGTGTGGGCGTCGGGAGGAGAGGACAGCCGAGCGAGGTGCGAGCAGGGGCCAGCCGGCGAGGAAAGAGGAAGAACGTGCTGCACGAGGCTGGGGCCGGGCAGGAACGATAGAGCCGTTCTGGCTGGTCTGGCCCATGGCAATTCCCAGGAGCATTCCACCAGCGAAGTTCGGATCAGGACTGGCGGAAGCGGCGAGTCCTGGCCATACCGGCCTGGGCTATGACGATCCCCGAGTGGCTACGCAGCAAGACCCTGGCTGTGATAGCCCGGAACAGCTAGCCTACGCAGCGCTGGCGTAAAGGGAAGGGCGATCCGCAGGTCTGGGCACGGACCCCGACTGCGAGCTCAGAACGAAGGGCGACAACTAGGGTCGGCGGTTCTGGACTGCCGGCTCTCGAAGACGAGCAACCGGGTAGCACAGTAAACCGATTCGCTGCCTTCTCGTTGTGTTGAGTCACTTCCTGGGAGATGAGCGAAGCGCACATACCGATCGGGCGCCGATTATTATATAGTGGTGAAGACAACTCAAACTGGTGTCCAAATGACAACTTAGAATATGCTTTAAACACTTCAACCTTTCAATGCTCCTAAAAAAAAAAGAAGAAAAAAAAAAAAAAAAAAAAAGCACATAAAAGAACCAGGGACTCGGCGCGCACATACACACGAGGACTGCTGAAATCGGGGTCGCCGCCGCTCGCCACGGCCCGACGGGCAGACTGGTCGCCCCAGACACACACGCCTCCGCTCGTGGCGCTGAATGCAGCGCACTCGTGGCGCCGCCTGGCCATTGCCAGCTGGCTATATATTATACGAGACTTAGCAGGTACCACCATGCCACTGAAAGCAGGGCTGGGCAGAGATACCCCAAAAAGTATTCTGGAATGTAATCCCTCAGATACTTGTATTTTAAAGTCAAAATACAGATGCTGAGATACATTCATATTTTATGCAACGGGATATCCCCGACAAACTTCTGCAAAATTGACATAAAAGTATTCCAGAATACAGATACATACAGATATGTTATTCCTGAACAGTTGTAGGGGGTGAGGGTGCAGTTTGCAGCAAACGCAAATGGTGGTGACTGTATTCCTCTATGTCAGTTTATGCACCTCCCCTTACCTCAAACTCTTCATCTACTCTTAACAAAAAAAAAAAATCTCAAATGCCACTAAAAAAAGCATTGTTGCCCCCAGTAACCAGGAGACCAATGTTTGCTTACCATGTCAGACAAAATGGCTGACATGACCGACGATTTCCTCCTCTCCACTCATCTCCTTTACCTGTTCGCTTTGGTAAAGTGGAAAAAGTAGAGGGCTTTCTGGGAGGAGCTTATTCTGCTATTCTTGAAAGTGACTGCTCTTTCAAGCCACCTGTCTTTCTTTTTTTTTTCCTCTCTATTTTGGCAATTGTCATTTACCAGGCACTAAGCTTCCTTTCTGTGGAGAAGGTTATCTGCAGGGTTCATATTACAAATTCTGGGGCTCTTACACCAAAACAATGTTTTTTTATGGTAAAAATCCAACAGGTTGTTTTTGACAACAAATGAAATGAGATACCGAAGCCTGGCAAAGCATCGCAATACAAGTGATGCATTGCAAATGTATTTGACTACTGAAATACAAATACATTTTTCAAAAGTATCTTGAGAGATATTCAAAAGTATTTCTCAGATACTATTGCACTATATTTACTGCCCGGCATTGACAGAAAGGTATGTTCTTGAAACATTGCCATGCCATGGAAAAAAGCTTAAAATAGTTGAATGTAACTCTCCATGATAAAAAAGCTAATACTGTTCGCAAAAAGTTAAGAAAGAAGAAGTTAAGAAGCTCCGACTCCAGCACAACTTGTTACATTCTGCCATGCTTTGGCTCCACGTGTTCATGAAATGCCGAAATGATAACAGAAGTAGAAAGCTTGGGATGGAGAACGAGTTTCTACTTCATTCTTAACCTGTGACTGACTATAGTAGTTACATGCCTGTTTCATAGCTCATTTCAATCACCAGAAAATTATGCAAAGTTCCACCTCTCCGCACTATGACGAAACAAGATTTCCTAGACAAAACTACTTGCATGCTATCAAAACTAACACCATACCCCAAAAATTTATATGTGAAAACAAGACAGCCGACAACCTAGACACTAATTACAGCAACTGTATATGGAAAGAAAATTTAATAACAAAGAAAAGCAAAAAACGAAAAAAATTAGCAATCCCATGTTCATCCAGAGTACAGTCGCAGCAATAGCTGTGGTACGTCGCGGCTAAGTCGTCAGGAACTGGTGTCGTGTTCACGCACTATGGGGTGTGTGAACAAAAGTGCTCGGAAAACAATTAACATCTGACCATTTTGTTACGAACCATTCCAAACACTTTTGTTTTTTTTATTGTTGCGCAGCGCATGAATGCGCATCTCCCGGCACGAGCTCTTGGCATTGCGACTGCTACAACAGCATTTTGTTATCGGCCACTACAAAGTCTGACCGCTTTTGTTTCTTTTTTGTCTTGAAGCGCCTGAAAGCGTGTCTCCCGGCACGAGCTCTTGGCACTTACAGTGCTACAACGGCATTTTGTTATCGGCTATTTTTTGTGTCCAGAGAGCGCATGCAGTGGGCATCGGGTGCTACAAAAGCCCAAAGTATAGAGCGGGTCATTTAGGCTGTGGCACAGCTCAGTGATAATGCTTCCGCCCCATACGCAGTAGACCCACGTTCGATTTCTGCGGGCAATCCTTTCGTAGGGTTTTGCAACATTGGCGACAGACGCCCTACATCGCCAACTACAACATCAACTACAACGGACGTCATTTCCAGTAGTGGGAAGAGCCCATAACAGCTATCAATGTAAAACACGAGTCCATGAAGTACGGTGAATAAAAGCATGCCCACAAGTACCTTTCACGACTGCGACTCTTCCTCAGTCGTCGCCTTTCGGAGCTGCGGCTCCTGGACCTCCGGCGGCTCCGGCTTCGGCTTTTCTTGCGTATCGGGGACCTCCGCCTGCTGAGGCTTCTCCTGCGCAATCTTTCCCGGCTCCGGCTCTTCCTTCGAATGGGCGACCTGACCCGGCTACGGCTTCTTTTCCTGTCCCGGCTTCTGCTCCTGTTTCTGTCCCTGCTGCGACTTTTTCTTCGTTCCCGACTTCGGCTTCTTTTCTTGTCGCGGCTTCGACTACGACTATTCTTCCTCTCTCGACTTCTTCGTTTCTCCCTGCTGCGGCTTCGCTTTTTGTCTCTGCTGCGGCTCCTCCTCTTGTCCCGGCTGCGGCTCCTCTTCTTGTCTCTACTTCGGCTTCTTTTCTTGTCTCGGCTGCGGCTCCGTTTCTTCTCTCGACTTTTGCTCCTCTTTTTTTCGCGGCTGCGGCTTCTCTTTTTGTCTCGGCTGCGGCTCCTCTTGTCACGACTGCGACTTCGTTTTTTCTCACGGCTTCGGCTTCTTTTTTTCTCCCTGCTGCGACTTCTCTTTTCCCGGCTGCGGCTCCTCTTTTTCTCTCGGCTACGGCTTCTCTTCTTTTCCCGGCTGCGACTCCTCTTTTTTTCCCGGCTACGACTCCTCTTCTTTTCCCGGCTACGGCTTCGTTTCTTCTCTCGACTGCGGCTACGCTTCTTTTCACGACTGCGGCTTCGCCTCTCGGGGCTGTGACTTTTTTTCTTCTCCCGGCTACGACTTCTTCTCTTCGGAGATACACTTTTGCTTCTCTGGCGCTTACGCTTCTCTGGAGTAGGGCTTCGCTTTCTCGAGCGAGAATCTGCCCCGTCCTTGGACCTACTTGGGGATGGTGACCTCGACATGCTTGAACTGCAACTCCGAGGCTTCGAAGTGGTACCACCTTCACCATGGGGCTTTATGGGGGAGCTGTCGCCCTGCCGTGGTCGATCTTGATCAAGGTCTTTGGAAGAGGGTGCCTCCTCTACCTGACTGACATCTGTCGACGCAAGTTCTTCTCGATCAATGTTTACCTGAGCAAAGGATTCCTCCCTTTCTGCAACAGGAGATTTGTCATTGGATACCTGCTTGGCATCAGTAAAACTTTCACTGGGTGGCACCTCTTTTTCGTCTAGAGTCTTGTCAATGATTTCAGTTTTTGTCTCTATAGGGTCGCTCTTCGACAAAGTCGGTATCTCTTCAAGGTCGGGGGCGATGTTGGTGACAGTTGCTGAATGGTCTAAATGCTGACCAGTGGAAATAGCCAAGTCTGTCTGCTGGCTGCTTGACCCCAGGTCAGATGCTGACTGACGTTCAATGACACCATCCAACTGCGCCATTGGATCATGCTTTTGGCTGCTTTCAGCAGGCAGTTCGGTAGCTTCTACAGAGCTTACCTCAGGTTGGAGTTCTGTAGTGACACTGTCGCTAACAAGGTCCAAATGCTTTCCCTGTTCAAGAAGAGAGTCCTCTCCTCTAGTGATTGTGCCTTGTTGAGGTAACACAGTATATTCTTCAGAATTCATCTCTACATCTTTCACAGACTCATTGAAAATTTTAACTGAGTCTGCTTTGCCATTATCATGGGGCTTCTCCTCAGCAGGGTCTGGTAGATTGTCACTTTTTTGAGGAGTGCTTTCAGTGTCACTTTTTTGCTCAGCTTTACAATCTGGTGATGATGACTCCTTGCACCGAGAGCTCTTCTTCTTAGATGACTTCTCCTTGCCATGTTTTCCCTTCTTCGAAGACTTCCTCTCTTTGCTGCGGCTCTTTCTTGACTTCTTCTTCTCCCTGCTTCGGCTTCTCTTCTTCGAAGACTTGTCCCTGCCTTTGCTGTGGCCACGTCGAGACTTTTGCCGCTGCTTGCTACGGCTTCTCCTGGGGGACTTGCTGGCACTCCTCCGACGGGGCGAGCGTTGCCTCCCTCGACTCCCGCTCCTGTTCCTGGAGGACCTACGTCGACCCCTGCTGCTGCTTCTGCGTGGGCGCTTCCTGTCTCTGCTTTGGCTCCTTGAGCGGTGCCTGCTACGTGACCTACGCTGTCTGCTCCTGGACCGCTTCGACCGTTGCTTTTCTTTGCTCGTACTCCTTTCCTTCCGAGATCTCTTTTTACCTCTGCTTCGGCTCCGACTTTTCCTATCTTCGCTTCGACTGTGACTCTTCCTGTCCCTGCTACGGCTTCTCCCGTCCTTGCTGAGGCTGCGACTTTTCTCTTTGCTTTGACTTCGACTCCGCCTGTCTTTGCTCCGACTACGACTTTTGCCTCTGCTAGGGCTCGGGCTTTTGTTGTGGCTGGGGCTGGGGCTACGGCTCTCATCTTTGCTTTTGCTAAGGCTTTGCCCCCCATCCTTGTCATTGAGGATGCTAGTCTTACTCGAAGAACCACTAACGTCGACAGCCAAATCCTTGGTACTTGACAAAATGACATCACCCAACGACGGCATGGAAGTACTAGACAACTCTTGAGCTTCGTTGTTTCCCAAATCAGCCGCAGCCTTTGTCGGTTCAGAAGTCTCGAACATAGACACCTTATTGTCCTGAGGACCTGTCCCGTCTCCAATGGTCGCCACAACACTAGGACCTTGATGAAGGGCTTCCTCCATAGCAGTCTCCCCACTAGTAACCTTTCCCGGGCGGCGTGACGAAGTAGAGATCTTCTCTGGTTGCTCTCCACCTGAAGAGGACCTGTTCCCAATCGCGGTTTGAACAGGACGATCCTGAATCTGCGACTGGGCGACAGGATGCACCCCTGCTGCGGCTGGTAGTACGGCCTGTTCTGGTGGCAGTTCATTCTCTGAATCTCTTTGCTTAGGTTCGTCATACTGCAATGGCACAGCAGAAAAACATCCTGCTCCGCTCACACGGGACGCTCTGGTCGCTTCTCCCGAGACAGGATAAGGTCGAATAGGGGATGCCTTAGTCGACTTTGCCTCTTCCATAGCCGTTTCCAAGACGTAAACAGTCTGAGCTTCAATGGCAGCACCACTTGGAAGCGGTGCCCTCTGCTCAGCCACTGGACCAAGTGCAACATTGTGAAATTGTGCCCTAGCAGGGCTTCTATCTTCCAGCTTTGCTTGTAAAACATTCTCCTTCGGTGCCTCGAGCGTCTCAAAGATATTCTTCTCTCTCAGGATCGGCTTAACTTGTCCGACCGGCTTGTTTAAGTCAATCTTGACACGCTGCTGTGGCCTCGAATCGCTGAAGCCCCATAAACCCTCTGGTTTTACCGGAGCCTCTCCCGAGTGCAGCTCTGTAAGCAATCCGCTCGTTGCAACCTGAGCGTCCTGCACTGTTCCCCGGCCGTCATAAAAGCTGCGAGAAATGCCAGGTGGCTGATAAAGGCACTCTACAGCCCCATAGCTGCTGCTAAAGGTCTCTTCAACCTCTAACATGCCCCCTGACAGGGGTGAATTTGAGATGTCCATGTCTTCTACAGCAGTCTCACAGGTGTCCACAACACATCTCGTGGGCTTTGTGTCGTCGTCTGATCGTGGAGATTCTCCTGGTAGCAGTATTGTCTCTGGGTCTGGATACTTAATATTCTCCAATGCCACCGTTGGAATACTTTTACCAGAGGATGCAGGTAAAGGCCCACCTTCTTGTACATTTTCTGGGTCGTTCATCGCAGGTTTGACAGTGGTCTCCTCAGCAGCTGGAGGCTTAGCAACACCAGTTGGCATAGCCCTATCAGGACTAGACTCTTCATCAAGGAAGGTGGCATCCTCCTCCTCAAATGGACCATAAAGCACGACTTGATTCTTGGATGAACTGGTCTTGTCATCAGTCTTAGAATCTGCTTGTTCATTTGAATCTGGAACCGTGGTAGTGTTTAGGCTACTGCTGTCTACAATTTCGTTTTTTTCGCTCGGCCCATCTCGCCCTAGAGCCTTTCGCTCATTGCTTGAGCTTCTCCGATCTGTGCTTTTTCTCGCTGTTCGCTTTTCTCTGCTCTTACTAGCTGCCCTCTCTCTTGAGGAGCTGCGACTTCTTGAATGTTTCAAGTCAGACCTGCGACCACTTGACGAGCGTTTCTGACTGTTGCTCCTCCTTGCACGTCTTCGGCTGCCACTACGGCTCCGTCTTGACCGTCTCTGGCTTCGGCTGCGACTGCGACTGGATCTAGACTGCTTTGTAGTGTAGGAACGGTTGTGGCTACGACTCCGACTTCTCTTTAATAAATTCCGGCTGCGACTGTGTCTGCTACTTGACCGCCTACGACTAGGTCCGTCTCTTGATTGTCTTGGACTGCGACTTCGCCGATTCGATCGCTTAGGGCTGTGGCTGCGCCTAATTGTCTGCTTGGGAGAACGGCTGCGTCGGCTTGGTAGCCTGCGGTCACGACTACGACTACGACTGTTCCTGGACCGCCTGCGGCTAGGGCTACGACTTGCCCTGGACCTTTTGCGGTCACGAGCTTCGTTGCTAGATCGTCTTTGCTGACGGGTTCTGCTTCTGCTAACGCTTCTCTCCCGGCGTTCCCTTGAACTGTTGCGGCGACTTCTGCTGTCACGGCGAGCCCTTGAGCGGTCATCTTTTTGAGTACTCTTTCTAGAAGGACTCCTCCGCGTGTCTTCCTTTGTCTTTTCTTCTGTCGCATCTGGGTCTTCCGACGAGGAACCAGAAGAACGACAACGCTTCGTCCTGTAACTGCGGAGCTTCTTTTTTCCTTGCTTTTTAGGAGATGACTCATCATCTGATGGATCGTCTACATCTGCAGAAGCCTTGCTATTTTTTTCGTCTTTGTCGGAAACCACTGAACCATCCATTTTCTTTGGAGGATCTTCTATAGTATCCTTTGACAGTGAAGTTTTGGTGTTGGACTCTTCAACGAGCTCTCCGTTAATATTCTTCCGTGGTGAACCTTCCGAATCTGCTGAAGTGGTCGAAGGGTGAGATCTTTCTTTGAATGCAGCAGACTCTTTGGCTGGTGACGACGGAGGGGACTCTGAAACCTTGCCGCTAGGAGTCTCTGCAGTTCCAGCAGCACCATTCATGCCAGGCTGCTTCTGATCTTGAGCATCCGACTTTCCCTGAGGCTGAGTGTCACCACCACCCTTAGTGTGAGAATCCCCTCTTTTAGCAGTCACCTCAACCCAGCACTCATCGTCGCTTGAATGCTTTTCCTCTTGATCCTAGAACATATCAACATAGTACACTTTAATATTTTTGTTCACAAGAAAAAAATATGTATTATAAAAAACCCTATCAGTTGCCATAAAACCTTGCACTATCATTCATAAAGCAAGAATGAAAGAAAAAATGGCAAATTAAAGATTAACTACTGAGCTTTTTAAACAGAGCCAGAAGGTATAAAGAATCATGGATGTGGAATAGGGAAATTTAGAAGTACATCTAACACTTCAAGATTTTGAGACTCCAACCTAAGCTTTGTGACCCTATCCATGTAAGAAATGACAGCACACACGCAGTCTTTGTGAGCTACATAGGGACATAGTTCGTCAACAAGTCGGCAGTGGCATTTAAGAGATATAGTCAAATCTTACTCAAAGTTCTGAGTCAGACAATTATTGATTTTAAGCAGAAGGATCGAACCTGATTTTAAGTCTGTATTGATAGATTTCCTTTGATTTAAATGAATATATGAAAAATCCTTATGGCATTGCACACAGCTATAGAAGTCTTTATGTATATGCAGGGTGCCTAACAAATTATTATTTTGAGATTCCCCGACTTTTTTAGGTTTTCTCTGACAAGTTCAGGTTAAATTCCCTGACCACCGTAGAGGCGGTTAAGTATATAAGACCATTACAACACAAGGCATTAAGCATTGAGCACTGCAAGGATAATTTTGCATGGGCTTAATTCAACTTGCATATTCCGAAATATTCGGGTTCGTCCAGTTCAGATTAAACAAGCACTTTCTTGCCACCGACATTGTCAGTGAAGAGGCCACTTCCCGAAACACGATGAAAGCGCAACGCTCAACCACACATTTCAATAACCGAATGGCAACATGGCTACACGGCCGCCAGAAACACACTTTCGAATACTTTCGGCTTAAGGCTTAAATTGGGGTCTGCGGTTTTCCCATTTGTTACTAAATCTAGTAACTCTAACTGGATCTAGCCTAGTGTCACGCTCTCAATCCAATCCAAGGCTTGGACTGGGTTTGCCGGCTTTTCTCTTTGCATCGGGTAGCACTCTACATCGGGTGAGCAGAGCCCGTGCTCCACTGTGAGCAGAATTTATTGCCTATTTTTCTGTCCCCAAGTCCTCAAGTCTTTGCTCAGGGCACTCGATGGCGTTTCCGGCTCATTGTATCTGACTGGGCTCGCTTTTTGACAATATGCCTGACAATTTCCTGATTTTTCCCGGCAATTAAAATTTCCCTGACAATTCCCGGTTGCTAGACACCCTAATATGTGATCTGCGGCCTTCAGCATTACTATTTGCAGCCACAAATACAAAACAATATATTTAAGGAAGTGCAAAAGAAAGTTACACCAATGCTTCCATACATATATCTAGACCTGCAAAGTGAGTGAGAGTAGTACTATTTACACTGCTACTATGTGAAAAAGAACAATACATTCGTCTTGTGAATAATAAATACCGGAATGTCGAGCTACACATTACAGAGGACTCAGACATTCACATCGTAATTTACGTGGCACGGCACACTTAAATCTCTACACTTGCTGACAGGACAAGTGCAGGGCTTCTTCAATTGCCTTGCCTCCCGCACGTGCTTGTCACCTTCCGTCGTGCTTTGACTGTGTGCGCTCGCTCCAAGCTCATGAGACACCAAAGTGCAATTGTAAGTAGGAAGCTTGCATTCTCATCCCATCCTGTTACTGAGTACAGTAGAGCTTCCTCTTTTATACACATTTGTGAAGCGAATTTACAGAAATACAACTGCAATATAAAGGGTGTAGGCGCTCGGTTTCAAGAAAAAAAATGGGGTACACCATAAAATGGCTAAAAAAAGTAAGCATGCTAAGGTGATTTTGTCTTTGGAAAATGGGGGGCATAGCCAGTTAAACTTTACACTTTCTCGTGAAGATGACATCATAGTTTACACAAATTTTGCATTCCTTTGCTATACATGCCTTGCAAGTGACGTCACGCTAGGGAAGGACGGGGTCCCGCACCATACAGGTGGTTGGCTTCACACCGCGTGGATGCACTTACCAAGGTGTAGGATGTTGCTAACAGCCCAGGCATGCGCTAACATGCACCATATTTTCAACAAAGGTATCGTGAACTTAGAAAAATGTGCTGAGCTTACGATGATGACGTTTATCTAGTATGTGCGGAATTTTTCGGCATTGGTGCAATTGCGCTACAAACTAGGCACGTAGCCAGGGGGGGGGGGGGGGGGGGGCATGGGGCCCAGGCTCCCCCCAAAATCTTCTATCTTGCTCAGACTTCGTCTCCCCCTCCCCCTCATAGGGCATTTTGTCATGGCTACGTGCCTGCTACAAGCATAGTTTCAAAATGCCGCCGCCAAAGTTTTGACGCGAAGGGCTGCCGTGTCGCCAAAAAACGAGAAAGCTTAATTGTGCGCTTCATAATTTGACAAGCGGTTCTAGGAGTCGCTTGTAGAAAAATTGTTACGATTTTGCGAAATACTGGTAAACAACGCAATGTTACCATCATAATCTTAACCCTGAGGTAAGGAAAAATCAAATAACGGACAAGACCACTCTCATTGTCTCAGGGTTTATATTACAATGTTTCCTGACCGGCTTGACTGTATACCTTCGCTTCTTGCAAAGGTTACCGTCTCGCGGACGGCACAAATCGATGACCCGGCGGCTCGGCGAGCTTGCCCACGGAGGCCACCGCCGACCGATCGCCGTCTGGCCGGGCTCGCAGCGCGACACTCGCCCGGATTTGGCCGGGAGCCCCGAAGGTGTGCTTCGAAGCGTGGAAACAGCGTTATGTAATGGAGGCCAAAGGCCATATAAACCACGAACGAGCAAAAGCCGATGCAAAGGCGTGCGCGAACGTAAACAACGGTAGAAAAGTGCCGTCGCTCGCCGCTATGAAATGTGTCCCGCAAATTCAATAATCCGCGGCCGCATCCCTTTCCTGCCGCTCATACTTTCTCAACTTCACAGCTACTCTGCCCCGCAGGGCATGCCGACGAGACGAATGGGCGGTCGTAGGGATACGGGGTAATTGCTACAGCCGAGCGCGGCGCAGTTTACCATTGCTCTAGCTGCGAAGGGCCGTCGAGTCAACCACCAGCATGGTGGATACAGGTGTTCGACGTCATCATGTGATGTAGGTGCAAGGCATGTATAGTATAGAAAATTTCCCCAAAATGTTTCTGTCAGGGGTCCTTGAAAATGAAGGCACCCTAGCTTTTAGGTAGAGGGAAGAGCAATGTAAACAACTATGAAAAGCAAAACCTATATCCCAGTAATTGGGAGTTTGGCACCGAAGTGCAGAGCTTCTTAGAGAAGTTTTTTAGATTATGCATAAATAATCATGAATTATGCCATTTTATTCCATCCTTGCAATGATCTCGAATGAGGTTGCAGTGTGTATGTATAAATAAATAGATAACTAATTCTATGATAAATGGTAAACTCGAAATATATAACGCGCATATTTTCCTTTGAACATTTCTATCACTTGAAAACAAGGAGTTTTAAAATCTATACATAGCTTGCAAGTGCCGCCATCGCTGGGTACTGACGGTTATTTCTAATTACTGTTTTCTTCGAACGACAAGTGTTGCGAAGTGCAACACGGCGAACCGAACGCTCGCGGCACATAAAATACGAGCATGGCCGCGACTGACGTCACGTGCAAGCTATGCATGATCGTGGCAATAATGGCAGCTGAAATAATCTAACGAACTTATCGCATAAACATTCCAATGTACGGCACTCATTTCAAGGCATCGGGAGTTTCAGATATCTGCTGATGTGCTCGGTTAATAAGTTAGGCCTTGTTTGAATCGTTTTTGTTTTTTATCTTTTTCTCAACCGGCTAATCTTTTATGTTTTGTTCTGCAAACGAGTCAACCACAACGTCATAATATACCAGAAGACAGAAACCTAGTACAGGCATATGTGCCATATTTTAAAGATATATTAGCCAAATTTGAAAAAAAGCACTCAAGCGCGTTCGGAGCCGCGAATACTGCTACAATGTGATCGAAGTTCCATTGACCAATTTTCACAGACGTACAATATTAATAACAGACAGTTTATACGGCAGAAGCGACAGAAGCACAAAGGCTAGTAGAACCGCGTGAGGGACACGAGAATGCTACATTGGCGAGTGAAATCAAGATCGTGCAAGACGCAGTTCACGCCGGCACAACAAAAGCTGGAAGGCAAGCAAGGGAAGTGGCGCGGAAGACGCACCGAACAGTCAGCGGCTATTCAAAAACCGTTAACGCAAGCTACTTCAGGTAGACTCAATCCACCGATATCGCTCCAATGCGGCTACTTTTCACCCCAAAAAGTAGGGAAGTCGTTGCGAAAACGTTTCGGGCACTTACGCTCTCTGAATGGGCCTTCCGTGACTTGTGTTTTTTCTTCTTTTTGTGCTTCCGCTTCTTTGATTTTTTAGACTTCGATGAGTGTTGGGAATCGGAGGCTTTACCTTTCGATTCTGTGTCCTTGCCTTCGATCTTTTTCGTGAAATAATCGGCTAAAATATCCTCAACTCGAGCGTCATGAGGCAACGAAATGTCGTCCATGTTTTATGCTGCACCCGTTAACCGCGATGTCGATGTTGCTCTGCATTCGGAAGATATGACGGGAACGACGGTACATTAAACAATTTATTTGTTTTGAAAATGTCTAACAAGGGAATGATTTTTTTCTATGTTCTCGTCCGATGCTTGTCTACATTTTTTGTCCGGCCCGGTCAACGCTCTTGATCAACATTTTTCGGAAATCGGCGTTGGTAGATCTATAGGGGGCGCAGTTTCATTATCATAAAAAAAAAAAAAAACTCTTTCATCGACGCGCGCACGGGACGCGCGTTTTTCCCATAGTATATGATCTCTATGGGAAAAACGCGCGTCCCGTGCGCGCGTCGATGAAAGAGTTTTTTTTTTTTTTTTTGCTTATTTTTGTATTGAAAAAGTCTCACGCGTTGAGGAGAACGACGCAGGAAGCGCGCTTCAGAAAGCCAGAGTCACTAAATAAAGCTACGCTTTCAGAGTACCTAAACTCCCAAACTATGCGTCTGAAGCGCGTCAGGCGCCGCCATCTTGGGTCCACGCGCAGGTGGAGCAGGTGGTGGAGGAGTGACTAGCTGTGGCCGTCGCCTGCGTCCCATCCGTCCCATGCCTGCCCCACAGCTGCCGTAGCCGCAGCTGTGGCAACGAATCAAGGTCGTGTTGTTCGTATCTTGACGTAAAAAGGAAAAAAATGCATGCTGAGCGATGGACTTCAGCGTGCGCGCGCAGTAACAGTAAAACAGCCGCAGACAGCGGATCGGGGGGGGGGGGGGGGGGGGGGGGGGGGGAGGTGCCGCCGCTTCCAATGCACCAGGGGGGTAAAGGTGGGTGAGGAGGAGTGGCAAATCCCGTGCGCGGACACCCGGGGTCCCGAGTGAACGATCGCAAAAGAGAGCGGCAGAACACGAGAGAAAGAAAGCAACGCTGCCATGGTAAACGCGAAGAGTGAAAACTCTCAGCAATATAAACAGTGATAATTTAACGTTGTAAACTAAATTTTGAGCTATTCTAACGCTTATAAAAAGCAATAAAGTGATTACGCTGCATTAACTTCCCTTCTGTCGAGATCTCGGAAATCTGGTGGTTGCGCAGTTTCGTATTCCTCAAACGCGCCCACCCGCGCCCCACCGGCGAAGCCGGGTATATGGTTTAGTTTAGCGTTAACGCGAGGGAGTACATCTGCGCGCTTTGCAAAAAGAAAGCTTCGAAAGGAACGCGAATATCTTTCCACCGGTAAGTTCGTGGAGTTGAAGTTCACGAAACTGCTCTGATGATGTAACCGTGTGTGGGACCCCGAGGGTCTGCCTGCATGATCCGCCGCTTGCGGCAGCCAGAATCAGGGGGGTAAAGGTGGGTGAGGAGGAGTGGCAAATCCTGTGCGCCGACACCCGGGGTCTCGAGTGAACGATCGCAAAAGAGAGCGACGGAACACGAGAGAAAGAAAGCAACGTTGCCATGGTAAACGCGAAGAGTGAAAACTCTCAGCAATATAAACAGTAATAATTTAACGTTGTAAACTAAATTCTGAGCTATTCTAACGCTTACAAAAAGCAATAAAGTCATTACGCTGCATTAACTTCCCTTCTGTCGAAATCTCGGAAATCTGGTGGTTGCGCAGTTTCGTATTCCTCAACCGCGGCCAGCCGCGCCCCACCGGCGAAGCCGGGTATATGGTTTAGTTTAGCGTTAACGCTAGGCCGTACATCTGCGCGCTATGCAAAAAGAAAGCTTCGAAAGGAACGCGAATATCTTTCCACCGGCAAGTTCGTGGATTGTTGAATTTCACAAAACTGCTCTGATGATGTAACCGTGTTTGGGACCCCGAGGGTCTGCCTGCATGATCCGCCGCTTGCGGCAGCCAGAATGTATGGGAAAATGGCGGACCTTTTCCTCTAGAGTTAGTATGTATGATCTCTATGGCCAGAATGTATGGGAAAATGGCGGTCGTTTTCCTCTGGAGCACTGATCTCAATGACAATTGCTGGATCGCGCTTGCCGCTCCCGCAAGTGAAGCCACCGGGCGTCACTCGCTTGGGATACGATTTGCCGTTTTTGCTAGCCTTTGCTGCGGTTTTCCAGCGTGCTGACGACACGTTTTCTACTCGTTCGTCGTCATTCGCCGAAGAAGTTTTTTGAAGACTCTGTGTATTGTTGAGACTTTCCGTTGTGAACACGTGGAAAATTTTACGAAAGTGCAGTGTCGCAGGAAAAAGGCACAACGCGTCGAAAGGAAGGGCTGGCGGCGTGTTCAAAGCATCCTTGGCACGCCGAAGTGCCGTGTCTCTGTGCCTTCGCGCGCTTGGATACCGACCAAGAACCGACGCCGTGTGAATGTGTTTAGCGAGTGCAATGTGCGTGAAACCGTATCAAAAGGTACAACTCGTCGAAAACGTGTCGCCGGTGTCGCGGCGTGATCAAAGCTTCCTTGGCACGCCGAGTGATGCATCTTTGTGCCTTCGCACGCTTGGATACCGGTCAAGAATTGACGCCGCGCCAAAGTTCTGAACGTGTGTCGCGCGTAGATGCCTTTAGATCATTTATATATATCGGCCACGGAGTTCTGGATCGTCCAGCTGTTCCGGTGAGTTGCTATCAATAAAAGGGGGAGATCTGTACGTATTCTTATGTACTATATTAACCATGGCTATGTCCCAAATCTACTCTAATAGATTCCGTGGGAGCACGAATAGGGCAACGTTGTACGTGGAGCCAGGGGGGTTTTCGAAAGCAAATGTACAAGACGGCGAGAATGAAAATCTTTGAAGCGCGGCCGATATGGTCGTGTGCAATCTGTTGACCAATTACAATTAGGCGAGTCGCGTAGGTTGATAATAAGCCAGCACTGATCAGTGATGAGGAGCTGTCGTGCACGGTATTGTGTAAATCGTCTAAGGACGAAAAAAAGACGTACCTTGTCCCCATCTCCCGTCGCTAGTGGACGCTGGATTAAGCTCGTTCCTAAACCGCGAGGGGAAAAGACGCTGATCCAGAGGCACGAACAGCTTCACGCACATTGCACTCGCTGAACACATACACACGGCGTCGGTTCTTGGTCGGTATCCAAGCGTGCGAAGGCACAGAGACACGGCACTTCGGCGTGCCAAGGATGCTTTGAACACGCCGCCAGCCCTTCCTTTCGACGCGTTGTGCCTTTTTCCTGCGACACTGCACTTTCGTAAAATTTTCCACGTGTTCACAACGGAAAGTCTCAACAATACACAGAGTCTTCAAAAAACTTCTTCGGCGAATGACGACGAACGAGTAGAAAACGTGTCGTCAGCACGCTGGAAAACCGCAGCAAAGGCTAGCAAAAACGGCAAATCGTATCCCAAGCGAGTGAAGCCCGGTGGCTTCACTTGCGCTGCAGCGAACAAGCGGGGAAGCGCGATCCAGCAATTGTCATAGAGATCAGTGCTCTGGAGTTAGTATCGTTAGTATCAATGCACTCTCCTCAGAATTTACGGCGCTCCGTGGGGGCCGCCATGTTAAAACTTGATACCAGTGTTGCTGCATCTGTAGGTCATCTTTAGGTTAGAGCTGACGGAGAAAATCTGGCCACGGCGCAACGCCGATGTACGCTGGAAGCTAGAGCCGGTTTGCTTTCGTTGTTTTTATTTGGTCGGAGAAAATCTAGCAACAACGCGCCTCGGCAGCTTCGGTCTAGCCACCCTAGCTTCGGTTTGACCACGTTTGACGAAGTTTACGAGCACATGTAGCGAAGACGTGACCGGAGAAGTGCCCCTGTGATGGTTCCGGAAGACGGAAAGTATCATTCGTAATCGTCGTGTGTGCTTTGAAAGTGAAGGGAGTCACAGGGTCCACGAGTGCGCAACCACAAGCCAAGGTTCACGACAGCGCTCCGTTGACTTCGGCGATCTCGTTCTGTTTGGTGCAACACGGCTATGCGACAAAGAGTTGAAACGTTCGTGGTGTGTGGTGCGGGGGTAGAAGCCCATACTAACCCGAAGCGCAAATTGGCTATTGTGGGGTTGAAATGCAAAGGGTTCAGTTCCGTCGTCATCAGCTGATCCGGCCGGTCCAGCTGGTCCGGGAGGACGCAGCGAGCGCTTTTAAAAGTAAATCTTCCTTTGTTCCGTTTCAAAATGTGGAAGATTCTCGACGCATACCGTGAGTAAAAAGCTGCGGGCGTTTTCAACAAAATTACGTCGTTTCAATTGAACAATGGACTCCGGAGTGTTGTCCTAGACCTGCCGTTTTTATGCTTCGTGTTGTTGGCGTTTGCACGGCGACGCACACCGCCCGAGTAGATGATTCGGTCCTGCAAACGACCGGTCATACAGAATTTCAGGGAAACTTAAGTCACCACCGATATTTTCTTGTAAATCTCGTGTGAGTTTGTTGCGCTCGTCATGCGGTGTGAATAAATTCGGGCAACGTTTCCTACCTGCCTGCGGATGCATGAACTGAGACCATTTTTTACGTAGTGACCATAGCGTTTTTTCTTTATTTTGGAAAGAGGTTGGGGAATTATGGTACAATCACTTGAGAGTTCAGAAATTGGAGAGAGCGAGCATGCTTTCCTAACTTTGTCTCTTTTCTCTCTGGCATTGCCCCTAGTTTCAAGTTGCAGTTTCAGTAGACATACCTACTAGCAGGTACAAACTGCTCTAAAGCAGGTAAAAGACTGGCAAGTCAGGGCGGTGCGGATTCCGTGTTTCGCGCTTTTCGCGAGGTGACTGGGTAAGTGCTTTTGCGAGGTATGCGGAATACGCAAACCATTTTGTTATGCCCGTCAGTTGCGTCTCTCCAGCAAAACGAATAAGATGATCTACAAAAGCGCAATCACAAGTCAATATTTACGATAACAGTGCATTTGATTCGGTTATCAGTGTAGTTGTATTTTACCCTGCTTTCTGCAACGCCGTGACTAGGGGTGTCGCGAACCGGCCGCGGTTCGAGTTCGACCAGGTTCGACTCTTTCGACCTTTTAGTGAAAAGTTCGGCGAACCTTGCATTGAGGTTCAACTCGTGTGCGCATGCGCGACAGGCAGGCCAGTTGGCTTCGGATTGGATGGTGATG